TTAAATTATAATATATTCTAACTTCTTTATATTTATTACTAAATATAAATAATTAACTACTAGTAAAAAATAGAATATAATTTTTTAGTATTTCTTATTCTATATTTATAAAATTATTACTTTTTTATTACTTTCTATAATACCTCTATACTTTATATTAATAGAACTAGAGTATATTATTTATAACTAAGCTAAATTAAATTTTACTATAATTTTTTTAGAAGGCTATTTTTATATTTTTTTTTAAAATATAGAGAATAATACTAGCTTTAAGTAACTTAATAAGCTACTTCTATATATTAGAAGTAAAAATAGTATAAATTACTAGTATATTTATCTATTATTTAAATAATAAATAAAGGATATTTTTTATAGTAATACTAGTAGAGTAAGTTATATATAATAATACTCTTTATTTATTTATTCTATAAATTATAGATAAGGATTATAATATTATTAGCTTTTCTATTATTTACTAAGTAAGTCTATTTATAATTCTAATTATTTTAAATTTTAAAAGATATATAATAAGCCTAGATTATCTATTTATATTTATATAATATATTTAGGATATTACCTTACTATAATATAGTATTAGAATTAGATAAGTTATAAATATATATATACTTAAATAAGTAGTAATAATAATAACTAATATTTCTATAATTAGTAATACTAAACTAACTAAATAAGTAGTATTAATATAAAGCTACTAATCTACTATATAATAAATATATTCTTTTTATTATTAATATAACTATTATATTCTTTTTATTATTAATATATAAGTAATATTAGTACTATATTACTTACTAGAATACTAAAGATAGTTAAGCTACTATAGTATTATAGAATTAGTAGATTAATATAATTCTAGTATTCTATATAATAGTTATAGTAATACTACAGTATTCCGAAGCTACATATTTCCGGTATGGGGGCAAAGCTATGTCACGTGCCGTCCAACGCCTAGACCATCCTCGACCTCCTTATCCAGATAAGGGAATATAAACACTTGATGCAAACATTCACAAGTGTGCGAAAAGTTCTTTTAAGAGCTTGATACACCACCCACGACTCCCCAAACCCCCAATGGCCACGGTGGCGGAGTACGATCCTTCGCGTCTCTCAGCATCTCTAGTTTCTTAAGCTCCAGTTAATCTCATCAAACCGCGCGCCAATGCCAGCAGACCGGCCAACCAGCCAGCGCCGCCCTTCATCTTCTCCATATCTCCTCTCTCCAGGCGGATATGACGAAGATGCTACTACCATACGCGCGCTGTCTGATCAGGAATCGGACTCTGAAGATGACCAGCTTATGGAAGCTTCCCGAAGTACCCTCGACCTGGTACAACACGACCGCACCGTTCTAGAGGAGGAAGAGGAGCGGGAGCGGCTGTTAATCAGAGCGAAGTCGAGTCCAACAGATGGCCTACGAAGGATATTTGGGGCCAATCCCCATGATAATGGGAGCTTTAGTGTGAAGATTGGGAAACGGGACCGGAGTAGGCGGCGGAGAAGAGAGTTAGCCGCGATGACGAGTGATCGAAGGAGACGAAGAAGCTCTGCGCAGAGCAACAATGATGCTATGACTTTGGGAGAAGATGATGAATTAATGTACGAAATGGAGGAGGGTGTGTGCAAAGCTATTGACTCTGATGACGATTCACGATCCGTATCAACCATAAGTTCCATATTTAGCGATTTGGACCCTCGGGATATCGGAAGTAGAGGCTACTGTGGCAGTGTGAGCAACTCGGTTCATCGACATAGTAACAACTTTCTGTACTAACTACACTTCTTTCTCTGGTTTAGGACTCATCATGTCGGGTGGTTTCACTAATCACTTTCGCTATACTAATCCTATTCTCACTTTTATACCTGGGGGCTTATAAAGCGTCAAGCGGCTATCGGACATCACACCATCAACCTCCTAATACCATATCCAACGGCACCTCGCTATTCCTACCTACCACTATTCTTATTTCTCTTGATGGATTCAGGGCCGATTTCCTTACCCGCGGCCTCACGCCAACTCTCAACTCCTTTATTGCCAACGGAATATCGCCCAAGTATATGCTTCCAAGCTTTCCATCCGTCACATTCCCCAACCATTTTACGCTAGTAACTGGCCTCTATCCTGAGAGCCATGGAATCGTGGGAAACACATTTTGGGACCCCGAGTTAAAAGATGATTTTTATTATACAAAGCCTGAGAAGAGCATGCAGCCAAAGTGGTGGACAGCTGAACCCATCTGGGCAACTGCCGAGAAACAAGGTGTGAAAACCGCCATTCATATGTGGCCTGGGTCTGAAGCGCACATAATGGGAATTGAGCCTACATTTCTGGATAAATACAATGGAAATGAAGCCCTGCCTCGAAAAGTTGACCGAATTCTCGAATTACTAGACCTCCCAGGAGAGAAGGACGCGGATGTTCCGCCTGCCATTACGCAGCGGAGACCTCAGCTCATTGCGGCTTATGTACCGAATGTGGATGCTGCAGGGCACACCTTTGGCCCCAACAGTACTGAAATTAGAACCACGATTGCTAACGCTGATAAAATGTTGGCTTCTATTCTTCAAGGCCTGGAGACAAGAAATTTGACTGACGTTGTTAATATTGTTGTTGTATCCGATCATGGAATGGCCACCACCTCAGTAGACCGCCTGGTCCAGCTCGAAGACCTAGTGGACCTTAATTTGGTTGAACGAATTGATGGCTGGCCCCTCCGAGGGCTTGTACCGAAACGAAAAGAAGATATCCAGTTATTATTTGAACAGGCGAAAAATAACACTGCCTTCATGGGATTCGATGACTACCTCGAAATTTATACCCGTGAGACTATGCCGGAACGTTACCACTTCTCGAAGAGTGATAGAATCGCACCATTATGGATAATCCCTAAGACTGGTTGGGCGATTGTCGAACGGCCAGATTTTGATGTAAAGCTGGCTCAAAAGGAGGGAAAAGCCTATCATCCGATGGGGATTCATGGGTACGATCACGAACATCCGCTTATGAGAGCTATATTTGTAGCTCGGGGCCCTAGTTTCCCGCACAAAGCAAACAGTAGAGTCCAAGAATTCCGTAAGTCCTTACATTCATATACTCTTCAATATCTGCTTGCTAATGGCCATCTAGAAAATATCGAAGTATATAACATAATATGCGACTCACTGCGAGTCCAACCTCACCCTAATAACGGCACATTGCGCCTTCCATTAAAACCTGTCGGGTTACACTCTGATGGGAAAAGTCCTCCCATCGAAAATCTAGATGACCAAGATCCCCCTAAGTCAACATCATCTAAAACTCCAGTTTCCACTAGATCTCCTCTTCCACATCCTACTGCAGCCACAGGAAATGCTGGCATTCCTCCTCCCCCTCCTCTTCAGACAACTCAGCAAAGCCAGGGACGGCCTTCTTCAATTATTGACAGAATAATTGACAAAGTCAAAGGCTGGACAGGTGACCTCCTCAGCTTCGTTGGACTGGGGTGATATATTTATTCTCTTTTACCCTAATTCTCTTGTTGAACCCTTTTAACCCTATTTATATATACCCGGTTCTGTTAAATTCTTCGGTTCTTCATCTGTGTTAACGTTTGATATAATGTTTGTTTCTTTATGGGTCTAGCCGTCTTTTGGATAGCTGATTAGCATATGTATTATGGACTTTGTGATATTTGCCTATTTGACTTCTGAAACTACAGCATCTTGAAGAAAAGATGACAACATAGGCTGCCTCAACGGTAGCTAGTTCTTAGGGCGAACACATAGAACCATTGACTCGAACTAGTTATCCTGAGTCTCTGACTGATACTCATCTCCACGAAGCCATGCCTTGAGTTTCTGCAATGCCTTGAATCTCTCAGATACCTTATTCTGATAGAATTAGAACAAGAGTAACTATTTATGACCATAAGACGCATAAGCTTACCTTCTCTTCAAAACTCATCTCAGCATAGGTACGCCCTTGATATTCGAAGATCGGGTCAAATGCTAGTATCGCAATGTTTCTTAGCTTCATATTTCCCCTTCATAGATATGGCTATGGCAGGACATACCAAAACCACCGCTCCCCCTCTTAGGTACAATCACCCCATCTGTATAGCCATGGAAGAGAATCGGTTCTGATCCTGGTCCGGCAGAGTAAGCATATATGCAGGCGGTTCTAGCAGACTTATCGGGGTACGCTGCTAATAGATTATATAGTCCGTCGTTCCCCAAGCTAGAATAGAAATGTCTTCTGGTATAGTGGAATACAAGGTAAGTAGATATTCTATATTCATACAACACCCGCCAATATATGGGTACATAGAGGATGTAGCAAATGGACTTACATATAAGGTCCTGGTAAACCATCCAGGGCATTAAGTTCAAGTCCACTATCCTCAACCAGGACAGGGCCACCAATCTAATAACTACATTATTACCGAGGATTTCAAGAACTGTTACATAGGGCAATAGGAATGTGCTTATACCGCATCAGCTGCTTTCTTGCATTTGTCTCGTGCAATTTCTTCCAGTGAGCCCTGAATTTCTGGGATATCAATGGCTTGACTTGTAAGCTCTATTGAATCTCCCAAAATTGCCTGAGCTTCCGCCAACTTGCTCCTATTTCCAGTGACAAAGTTGAGGGTCTTGGGCTTAGAGAGAGCCATGGCGCTGCTACTTTGGCCAGCGAGTGGACTGGTTCTCCTATATGGACGTTTTCAATCCATCTTCCTGAACCAACAATTTGGTCACCTCCCAGCTCATTAACTAGGTACCCCGCCAGCTGCACAGGGGGCTTACTTGTAGACAGAGCATCGTGATTCTCCAGGGAGGTACCTGGTTATGCTCTAACGAAACCACTCCAGCAACCAGTGAATGGCCGCTGCTGCCTGGTATACGGCCCATCAAGCATTCAACTAGTTAAGCATATTAATCGAGCGGGATGGTTTGAACTAAGAAATACCAGCTTGAGTCTCGCCAATAAACAGCCGCTTCATGCCTGGAATACGATATCCATGCTTTCTTAGGCCTTGCTGCCTGGATACTAGAGTGTGTGGCGTATATTAAACACGAGGGGCTTTCATCTATAAAATCCAACCCAGCTCCCTTTTCCTCACGATACCACCAGAATCATCACGATATATTTCCAAGAAACGCCCTCAAATATCCACAAGTCAAGTCAGTTATAGAGTGAACCAACGACACCAAAATGACCAGCTTCCCTACTCAAAAGATCCATCCGTGTCTCTGGTTCGACAAGGAAGGCCTCGAGGCCGCAAGACTGTATACCTCCATCTTCTCCAACAACCCTCACTCCAAGACCAAGGGGGACTCATACATCGTCAACGAAGCGGCTATCACAAACGAGTCGGCGGTACTTGTTTCCTTCAAGCTGGGTGGCCAGGAGTACTCGGCTCTTAATGGCGGACCGCATTATAAGCATACCCCCGCCATCTCCATGTTCGTGACCTGCGAGGACCAGGCGGAGGTGGATTATTTCTGGGACGCGCTGCTGAAGGATGGAGGGAAGCCGGTGCAGTGCGGATGGCTGACGGATAAGTTTGGCGTGTCCTGGCAGATTGTTCCGCGGGCGCTGATGGTGTTGTCTGCGGATGAGGATCGGGAGAAGGCGAATCGGGTTCAGCAGGCGATGATGAAGTGTGTTAAGATGGACGTCAAGAAGTTGGAGGATGCGTATAATGGGGTGCAGTAGATGTCTGTCTGATAGCAGTCAATTAAACCCTTTTGAACACTTGGGCTACTTGGTAAATGATATACTGTTGGTCTTAGAGAGACATAGGACTTGAAAAGGGCTTTACTTTACATAGTTATGGGATGGAATGAAAGGTAAGTCTTCAACGTATCGTGTTGCATATAGTTGTATACAGATTAGTATATAAATGAAGAGAAAGAATCGCAGGGGTATCGAAGCTTGGAGCCCAAAATGTCTGATATAGAAAAGGCGGAAGGAATCAGGGAAGAACAGGGGGTGTCTAAGGCGGTTTAGTCTATATGTGTGGAAATCTCGGAAATTAGAAGTGAGTGCAAGGGAAGCAAGATGAACCAGTGAAGGGGGTCTGCGCAGTGTATACAAGGGGATCTTCGAAATCCAGGGGGGTTGAAATGAAGTATAAGTAACCAACTAAAGCCAAAATGCAATTCGTATCCCTTTTTTCCCGGGGGTAGGTCGGTGTAGGTGTATCTGTAGGTGGATGGGTGGATGGATGGATGGGATATATATCGTTGGAGCCGTCAGGATATTCATTATAAGAGCAGAGCAAGCAAGCAAGACGATGCAAACAAGGCGGAACCACAACCAAAGTCGAAAGAGCAAAGCAAGCCAAACCAAACCAATTTTGAACCAGAGGTAGACGCCGTCGGGAACCAAAACAGAGGTGGGGGGAAAGAATGCGATTTATCGTCTTGAAGGCCCGCGGCTACCGTGGTTACTATTGATACCGCTGAAATACCCCTCATCGATCTTCAATATCCACTCGATCTTCTGCGCTTCTGTCCTCGATGCAAAAAGGAATGTGTTCTGGGCCCCAAATACCGCAAAGACATTAGGTTGGCCGCGCGCAGACAGCCCATTCCCGCTGGATCCAACCAGCAGCCTGGCAAAGTCCGGATCATGATCGACGTGGGAGTTGCGGAGGTTGATGACGTTTATTTCATCACCGTCGGGAACGGAATAGATGTGTAGATAAGGTAATCTGAGTTCGACGAAGCGGCGCACCCAAAGGCTGTAGGTGTCGTCGGGGGTGTACAAGTAGCCTGATTTAAGCACCGTGGGGTTCTTGGGGATGTGTGTTATTGTAGCGAGGAAGCGGGGTTTGGAGGAAGATCGGTCGGTGGAGGTAGATGTTGATGGTTGAGAAGAGGTGTTGGCGCTGGATATCACGCTGTCGTTGTCTGTGGATGTGGATGCGGTTGCGGTTGGGGCGAAAGCAGCGCCTTGCAGGGGAGGTTCTATGTGGCCTTTTACGAGGATGGTGTCGGTGGGATCTTTGCTGGCGGACCAGAGACTGAGGTATTTGCGTAGTAGCTGTTCGCGTCTCTCAGCGTGTTCAGGGGTATTTCGTTGTAAGGGGGTTGAGTGGCCGTTTGCGGATAACGGGGTTAAGCTGCCGTCACTCAGTGCTGCTCGAGCCGCTTCGATCTCAGCTATGCGATGTCGTCTCTTCCGCGCAGCTATGTAGTCTTTTATCAAGGAGACTTTTCTAGGGGACCAGGTAGTAAGCAGTTCTTCTCCCTTGATGTAGTCGTTCTGGGTATTCATGCGCCACAGGTCCGCTGCGCGTTTCGCAGAGACTGGCCGCACGGCTACAGAGAACATCTGCGACGTCGAATGGACTACTCGTGTAGAGCTCCAGAACTGCTTGAACATCGACTGGGGCCGAACGCTAGATCGGCCAAGGATCTGCAGGCACTGGTCTAGCTCGAAGACAATTGGCTCTTGTAGACGTGAAGAAATCAAGTTCCACCGCAGCGTGATTTGGACCTTATATTTATCCGCTGTCGTGCGATCGAGAAGCAGTGAGCCATGAGAACTCGAATCCCACTGTCCTATGATCGTAATGTTCGACGACCCATCCGCATTATCCTTGACCATGGGCTCTTGGATCATTTTCAGCGGAATATCAGCGGATTTGCCATCGTCTAGATCAGGGACTTTCCCCCATGGATCAAGTAGTCTGATACCACCGACTCGTAGACCAGTAACGTCGTCCCACGGCAAACTCTCAGTCGAGCTATGAGCCAGATTAACAACGATACGGCGCTGCAAGCCCTGATGAAGCTGATACGTTCCAGCCTCGAGACTGTTAGCCTGCACAACGTCGACGGGCAGGTACTCGCCATTCTCCGCTAATTCAAGAATCTGCACACCCGCAAAGACATCATGTCTTTCTTCCTGGAAGTACTCCGACTCCGCTATACGAGGGGCCTTGCGCTTCTGGGGCGGAGCCTCGGGGGCATCGCGCATTTCATCCCAACTAAGCAATTTGTCAAGATGCATGCTCGACACGAGGGCGAAAATGCTGACTTTCAGCGTCGATGTTCGCGGGCTATTGAGCGGTAGACTCATGCTATGCACGCTTTCGAACTGGATTGGATTCTCGTCGAAGCCGTTGATGATTTGCGTGGTGGTAGCGCCGCCTTCTTCCGATATTCCTGGCACGAACAGCTGGGCGTGGACATCCGTGCCTTCACGTTCGGCGAAACCAACTAGGTCGCGCATCACGACGTTGAATTTCAGTGTTGACGAGGGCGCTTGGGCGGCGGAGGGCTCGAGGGAGAGCCGGAGTATGCCGATGACGTTCTGGGTGTACATTGACAGTACTTCGACGGAGAAATCTTGGACTCTGGACTCGAAGACTGCTGTGAGCGGGATATCTACGTCTCCTACTAGTGAGTATGTGGGTGAACATTGCTCTGAGAAGGGGTTCTCGAGTTTGAAATGCTGGATGTAGTCTGGTCGATCGATGTATTGATGCATCTGCCGCATGGCCTGCACACGACGTTCAAGTTTGTCCAACGACCAGAGCAAGATGACGTTGTGTTTGAAATCAATCACTCGGACGGCGATGCAGGGCTTCTTAGCGTCGTCGAGAGCCATGTCGTCGTCTCCTGATATGCCGTTCAGTACGAGATCGTAGGACGAGCCCATGTTCTGGCCTACATCGACGATGGCGAATTGGAAAAAGACGTGTTTGTCCATTATATGGCTCATTACTTGCGCTTCTTTGAGGAGCGAGGCGTGTTGGAGGACGGACTCGACCATGCGGACGTAGTTTCTTCTTCGCCAGTGTGCGAGGACGTTGCGGGCTACTTCTATCTCGCGTGGTTCGAGGAAGGAGAAGCCAGGCCCGTCCTCCGTCATGTGGCCGGATAAGTGAGCGATGCCCTTGATCTGCGTTTCAAAGGCCTCCTTTTGGCGCTGGAGTTGCTGCTGGAACTCTTCTCGAGCTTCCATCAGGGCCTTTTCCATTCTCCCCTTTTCAGTATCTGGTTCGTTGGCGCCATTAGAATTGCCGTTGGAGTTGGAGGAGTTGGCGTTGGAGGGAGACCCGTTGGATTCGTCGTATTCTCCCTGTTTCGGCGTCCCGGGCATCGTCAAGGCAGTGTCAAGCGAGAAATTGTCAATGGTCCCGTTGGACATGTACTTCTCTCGAATAGGGTATGAGCTCAACGAATCCGAGTCCTCCTCCATATCCAAGAAGCGATTCTCATAGAACCCTTTCCGTACTGCCCGAGCCTTCTGCACATCATCGAACAATGCATCTAGCTCGTCGTCTGTAAGAGCGGATATCTTGTGGTCGGTACCTAATATCGCATTCGCAGCTTCTCGCCGAGCATAAAACCAGTCCTCCCGTCCGTTACTCCCGCCTCCTCGCTGGGATGGCATGGGCGAGCCAGAACGGCTGGAGTCACCGTCTATCTCGGAGCCGGTCTTGCTTATGGTTCGATCATGTCCTGGCCCGGACCGGCCGGGTGTATTTGAGTTCGAACCAAGCTGGCTTGTCGTGACGGAGTGACGGAGGAGGCTCTGCTCTACCCTCTCGGCACGGGCTTCCATGGGATGATTGAAGCGGAAAATGTGGAAATCTCCGAGAATTATCCTGAACCCACTCCTGAGACGCTGGGGACTATCTATTCGTACGCCGTTGACCATGACCGCTGCGCCCTCGCAGGGAATAACAGTGACAATGTTATCGACATGTTCAAAGGTGCAGTGTTTGTGCAGTATTTTTGACCCGTTAAGACGTATCTCGCATGCCGAAGAGGTAGCGTCAACGTTACCTACCGTCGTTGTGCCCGGTTTGATATTGTAGACCAAACACTCTGCCAGCAGGGGGTCGTCTGACAAGTTGACTAGATGGGGCATTTTCTTGGGCGTGCTGAGACCGACGAAGCCCTTTTCAATGGAGATACCGAGTTCTTCGAGCGCGGCTTCTCGCTCCTTGTGAATTTCCTCTGTCTTCTGCAGTTTCTCTTCCCAGGTCTGGTTGAGGTCCTTGTACAGCTTCTCACTTTGGTCGAGCTGTTCGACGATCTCTGCCTTGCTGACTTTCTTGACCGAGCCGTCGGCCTGCATGATGGTAACCATCTGTTCCTCCAGGGGTGTTCCAGGCGGGTATTCCTCCTGCGGTATTCCGGTGGAAGAAGTAGCTGAGGCCGCAGCTCCAGGTACACCAGCCGCGCCGCCACCAAGCTTACTTCTCAACTGCGCGAGTTCCTCCTTGAGCTCGCGAATCATTCTGGCGTTCGGATCCTCGTTGACAACAGCATGGTTCTTGATGCGTTTGGCGGAGTTGGCGTACCGCAGCGTGCTCAGGGTTTCGTCATAGTTGATATCCGCGGGGGAAATAGCTGCAATCATGGCCGTCATCGAGTTACCTCCCAACGAATCCTTGAGCAGCCATGTCAACACCGAGTCTCGATACGGCACTACAGCCTTCTTCTTGCCCGAAGACAAATCAGCCAGGGCGGCAATGACTCGTCCCAACGTGGACAGCGAACGATTAATCTCCGCTCCCTCCTTGAGCCTTGCACCCGTGGCTCCCGTCGACGTAGCTCTCTCTGAACCCGCGAGATCCACCAGACTGATCCTAGAGACCTTCTCGGTATCCATGGTGGTCTCCTTATCATGTCTCTTCTGCGTGAGGGTGAGGGTAAACACCGCATGCGATCTACTCGAGGTCTCATTCATATTGGTGGCCGCAACCGTCCTGGCCTTATTTCCCTCGTCCATCAAATGCTCTATCTCCGAAAAACTCTGCACAACCAGCTTCGCCAGGTCTTCCACATAGGGTCCCGTAGAAGGGTGCTCGCGCACCTTCAGATTCCCCTTGTTAGCCGGGTTAAGCAGATCCCGCACCCGCTCGTTGTAGATTTCCAAATACGACACTTCGACGGTAGACGTCAGGTTGGCGTCCGCAACCTGCATGGCCGATATCCGCTGGAACATCTCCTTGCAGATCTTGGGGATGACGCCAGCCTCTTCGCCGTATCCCATCATGGAATACGACTTGCCGGAACCCGTCTGGCCGTATGCGAAGATGCAGTTGTTGTAGCCCTGGAAAGCATTGTCGAGGAGCGGCGCACCGAGGTCGGAGAACAGGTCGTCTTGACCGGCGTAGTTGGGGGCCTTTCTGTCGAAGGACCAGTATGATTTGTCGAAGGCGAAGACGCGGGGGCCCTCGGGGGCAGCGTTGGCTCCTGTGTTGGAGGATTTGCCGCCCTTTCGAGACTTTTCTTCGGCGCCGGGGGGAGGGGTGAGCACCGTCTGGGCGCCTTTCATTTGGACTATGCATTTTGCATTCCGGTCGCGTTCTACAGAAGTTAGCTGGACGTTTAACTATTGAAAGGGAATGGAAGGAAGAGAAGTAAAGAGATACCTCTTGAGTTGAACGGACGGACGCGCACGACGACCTTGATGTTTCCTCCGCCGCCCTCCATGGTGACTGGGCTGGGGGGAAGTGTCAGGCGAGGGGGGGAGCGCGGTAGAAGAGGAGAAGGTAGAAGAAGAGGTGGTGGTGGTGGAAGGTGGTGGGAGCGGAGAGACGGCAGAGGGAGGCTGCCATCTACTCCGGCGACGAGAGCGCGTTGAGCACGGCTATGCGGTTGGATTAGATGTTGATGTTGACGTTGATGGATATCTGCAGTAAATAAAAAGCAGTCCGCGGATGTTGTAGATGCATGGATGAGGTCGAAGTAGAGGTGAACGAGCCACAGTTAGTCAGCACAGCCTCGTTAGTCATCACACTTTAACTCAACCACCACCACTCACTACCAGACATTACTATCAAGTATTACTATGGAGATATCAGAGATATACTAAAGAGATTAGAGATAGAGATATGTATGTATATACCGAGCTTGATTTGCATCATCACATCACTCTTATCGACAAGACGCAACTAATTAACAAACAGTAGGAAAGAGAAAAGAAAAGAAAAGGAAAAAAGGGTAGAAAACAAAATACATATAGGATCGCCCTAGAACACTCTTTAGCTTCAATTTTTTTCAGATACACGCGGGATAGACAGACAAAAGAGAGAACAAACGAAATACAAAGGAAATAACAGCAGGAATAAAAAAAAAAGGAGAAGAAAAAGAAGAAACCGGTCCATCCTATCCTATCCTATCCATCCGCCGCGCTCATGCTGAAAGAAGAGGAAAAGACGAAACAACGAGATGAGAGGAACTAGCAAGGGACCTGCTAAGCGAGATAGACGAGAGACGAGAGACGAGAGGGGGTATAATAATGGGTATGTATATATAAACGGAAGGAAGCAAATCACAACAAGAGGTAGATGGAGAGGTCAGCCATCTTCGTCCTCGGCGTCACTGGTCTCAGCCGGGGCAGCGGCGACGTTGGCGTTGGCACCTGTTCTAAGGGGAGATGTTTTGGCCTTCTTGGAGCCTGGAGACGAAGACTCGGCTATGCTCTTCCTCTTCTGGCCGGTGACTTCTTTGTTCTCGTTTGTAGAGGCAGAGTTGTTATTTGTAGCAGTTGATCCGCCCTGTGCCTTTTCCATGGCGGCTACTTCGTCTGCGGTCAAGAAGCGGCCTCCTGGACCTCTGGGTCTGCGCATGGCGTGGTTGTGTCGTGATTCATGCAGGTATGGCTTGCGGCCCTTGGAGGTGAGACGGAGCTGTTCTTCGAGTTTCTGGCGGGCCACGCGTCGCTTGAGGATGCGATGGAACTGCTTTGCGTTGACGTAGAGGGGGGATTCTTCTGCGGGGGGACCGGGGGGAGCTAGTTCGGGAGACGGTTGGGGTTGTTGTTGTTGTGGAGGAGGAGCTTGTGTTTGTGGTTGAGGTTGAGGTTGTGGCGGCTGTTGTGGTTGTTGTGGTTGTTGCGATTGTGGTGGTGGTGGTGGTTGTTGTTGTTGTTGCGGTGGTGGAGGAGCTTGCTGTGGCTGGCGAGGCATGGAGTGAGGACTGCCGGAGAGCTGTTGGGACATGCGTCTCTGAGCGGCGGCGGCGGCAGCAGCAGCAGCGGCCGATGGTTGTGCATGAGCCTGCTGGGGCGACTGTCTGGGTCTCTCGTTCTTGATGGGGAGGCGCGTCGAGTCCTGGTGCAAGGGGAAGAACTGGCCCGTGGCAGCAGCGGTGGCCATGGCGGCGGCCTGGGTCGGGGAGATGCCATAAGGGGCGTAGCTCTGGGGGAAACTCATCTGGCCCGGCTGGGGAGGTTGACCTTGGGATTGGGGATGTTGTGGTTGTTGCTGAGGTTGCTGAGGTTGTTGTTGTTGCTGCTGCTGCTGCTGCTGGGGTGGTGGTGGTTGCTGGGGCTGTCCCTGGTAGTGAGGGTGCGGCTGAGGCGGCACTATGGGCGACGCCTGGTGCTGAGGCTGCTGGTACTGAGCGTACTCCATCTACACAGGCTTGTTATTAGTAAGTTGGGTATCAAGTGACGGTCAGGTAGGGCCAGAGTGAGGCAGGCCAGGGTAGAAGGTAGAGGGGGGGGGCTGCTGCAGCCAGGCCAGGGAGCAGGCCGTCGGGTATATTATATTTTGTAGAGGGCGAGGGCGAGGGCGAGGGCGATGCGTTGGCAGCGGGAGCTTGTGCATGCAGCACGTACCAAGCGGGTCCGACAGCGCAGACAGCGTCAACGCAGAACAGTCGACAGCAAGAGACAGCAACAGCGTCAAGGCAGCAGCAGTAACAGAGCAGAGACAACAGTAATAGCAATAGCAATAGCAATAGTAGAGAGTAGAGAAGAGGGTAAAGAGAGAGAGGGAGAGAGAGTAAACAACGCGACGCGAGGCCCCTGGCTTGCTGGCTGCAGGCTGCGGGCTTGCTGGGTCGAGCACGGTCACGGGAACAGCGAGGTTGGCCAGTGAGAGGCGAGAGACTTACTGGAAGGACAGCGGTAGAAGCAGTAGTAGAGAGCCAACAGCAGAGAGTAGAGCAGACAAGACTAGTAGAGTAATAAGAAGATAGACGAGAGACGAGAGAGAGAGAGAGAGAGAGATGGTTGGTGGTTGTCGCGGGTGGGCGCAGCGACGAATGACAGGCAGAAGAAGCAGGAGAAGAAGACGAAAGAGACGAGGAAGAGAAGAAGAGGAAAAGAAGATGCTTGGAGGAGGCAAAAGGGAAAAAAGGCAGAAAAAAGGGCGAACGAGGGCGACGGGGACCTTGCGCTTTTTAAGGCGAAGAAGCCAATGAGAAGGGGGATGCTTAGGTAAGGGAGGCTAGGCAGAGACTAGGAGGAGACTTAGAAGAAGAAAGACTAGAGAGGAAGAAGAAGAAGAAAGACTCGAGGAAGAAGAGAGAGAGTTAAGTAGAGGAAGAGGAAGACTCACCGCAAGAGTCGTTGGGCAGGAAGAGAAGAAGGAAGACTAGAGTAAGAGAAAGAGTAATAAGAGAAGAGTAAGAGAGAGTAATAATAATAAGAGAGAGAAAGAGAAGAAGAAGAAGAAGGCGAAGTTGGTTGGGCAGCGGTGAGGGCTTAGTCAGGGCTTAGTAAGACAGTAGAGGGAAGAGAGAAGAGACGATAAGTAGGAAGTAAGGAAGAGAAGAAGTAAGAGAAGGAGACGAAGGAGAGCAACCTTGGAGACAGCTCAGCCTGCGTTGTCATCGTCATCTTTTCTTCTTCTTTTCTTCTTTTCTTCTTTTCTTCTTCTTGTTGTTATTATTTTCTTGTCTTTTTCTTCTTTTTTTTTTCTTTTTTCTTTCTCATTTTCACTCGTCACATCCACTAACCGCTTCGGGCTTAGCGGGTCCCTTTTTTTAGGGACGTCAAAAGTGGGGCGGGTGACTTAGTAAGACATGACTAACCATGAATGACTATTATGTAAGTAGCAGTCACATGATGCTACTCCGTCGCTGCCAACTTTGCGGCGTCGGCGAGAACTTCCAGCTTCGCTTCGTCTCTTCGTCTTCTTCTTCTTCTTCTTCTTCTTCTTCTTCCAAGGGCTCGACCTCGCTGTCCGACACCCTGCGCAGTCTTCCAGTCACTCCAAGAGGCATCTCATCTCATCTCATCTTCCATTCTTCTTCCATTCTTCGTTCTTCTGGTAACTAACTACCCTTTCTCCCTCCTTCGTCCTGCCCTCGTCTTTTCTCCAGTCATGTCTTCTTCTTCTCTGCCTTCTTCTTCTCTTCTACCGCTGCCTCTATCTTTGCCTCCTTGACTCCTCCTCTCTACGCTCTACTCTCTCTACTCTATACTCTCTACTCTATGCTCTCTGCTCTCTGCTTCCTCCTGCTTCCTCCTTCCTGCTTCCTTCTGCCTCCTCTAACGAGATGCTAGCTTCATGGACTACGAGTCCTTCTCTCCGCCGGCACCCAAGGCGGAGCCCAGGTGGGCCGACGAGGATCCCTTCCACCACGACTTCCGCCGCTCTCGTAGGTCGTCCATTTACTACTACTTCTACTTATTTATGATCTTATGCTAATAGTCCAGTAGCTGACAGGAGGAGGAGACGCTCAAGGAGCCCGGCCGCCATAGACAGGTACCAGCCAGAGAGAGAAGTGCGCGACAGAGACAGAGACAGAGAAAGACGCGAAGACTACTACAGCCGCCGCCGTCACCCTTCCCCCGGCGCTGCAAACATAGACAGATACATCCCGGGCCAACAAGATGGATCGTCGGCTTCCTTGACTTCTTCCTCTTCTTCAAAGCCCGTGCCGCGCTCAAACCCCATCCCGGCGCCCCTCACCCTAGACTACCAGGTCGGATTCAACTACTTCGCCGAGTGGTGGCGCACGGAGAACGCCATCAAGGAAGAGAAAGAACGGGTCAGACATGGCCTGCCTCCCTCCACCAGACGGGTCAAGGGCGAGAGAGAGGCCAGGGAAGACAGGGAGCGCGAGCGCGCCCAGATACAGACCGCCTACGACGCCTACAAGGCAGACCTGCAGATGAAGCTCGCCAGGCAGTTTGTCCAGATGCACAGGGCTGAAGAGTGGTTCAGAGAGCGCTACGTCGCTGACATACGTGACCCCTTCAGACAGAGACTCGCCCAGTTCCGGGTCTCCGCATATGACCAGTGGTGTGCTGACCTCGCATCGGGTGTCTTTGACGAGTTCACCCTCGAGGGTATCTACAAGAGCGAAAGTGATGGAGCCGGAGGCATAGTCGAGAAGGAAGAAGGCGAAGCAACGGCCGTCGGTGAGACGCTGGGAGTCCTGGACCTGGTGCCTGCGCGGGGGGCCGATCTCAGAGACGACTCCATCCTCCAGCCGGCCCTGCTCATCAAGACCCTCGCCCCCAATGTCAGTCGCGAGAAGATAGAAGAGTTTTGCAGAGAGCATCTCGGTGAAGTCGACGGCGGGTTCAAGTGGCTCAGCCTGAGTGATCCCAACCCTTCAAAGAAGTACCATCGCATAGGCTGGATCATGCTGCATCCAACATCTGCAGACGACGCCGCTGCTGCCACCGTCGTCGACCGAGGAGACGGGCGAGACGAAGAAGTAGAGGAAGAAGAAGGGGAAGAAGGGGAGATGGATACCGAAAGGACAGGCCAGAAGAATACATCTTCTACTGCTGCTGCTTCACAGTCCCTCGCCGAGCGCGCCCTGGAAGCCGTCAATGGCAAGACCATCACCGATCCCGTCAGAGGCGACTTTGTCTGCCATGTCGGTGTCCATGTCCCGCCCGCCAACCCGCGCAAGAAGGCCCTCTGGGACCTCTTCTCCGCCCCCGAGCGCATAGAACGAGACCTCGATCTTGCGCGCAGGGTCGTCGCCAAGTTCGACGCTGCCATGGACGCCGCAGATGGCATGACCAGGATAGAAGAGCGGGTAGAAGACCTGCGCGGCAAGGGCTGGCTCCAGCCCCCCGTCAGCGGGCCAGTCAGAGTCAAACACAACAGCAGCAGCAACAACAATAACAACAACAACAGCCATCTCGACCCAGAAGCAGACATGATCCTCCTCGACGACGGGGATACACCTGGTAAAATGGAAGAAGACGGTGAAGACGCAGACCTCGATGACTCCGACGAGATAGACACAGAAGACCTGCTCGCAAAGAAGAAAACCCTCGATCTCACCGTCGAATACCTCCGCCGCGTCCACAACTTCTGTCTCTACTGCGTCTTCGAGTCCGATTCCGTCCACGAGCTCGTCCGCAAGTGTCCCGGCGGCCACCTGCGCCGTCCTCGCTCCGGCCTCTCCACCCACGCCAAATCAGCCGCCCGTGCAAGCGCGATAGGCGCCCCCTACCCTTCCAAAAAGGACTCCACCAACAACACATCAGCCGCCGCAGCCGCCGGTCACAACAACAACAACGACGAAGAGGAAGAAGGAGAAGCTCCCGCCTCGCCCGCAGAGGAGAAGAAACCGCCGCGCTTCTCGTCCAAGAGCGAACAGCAGATATACCGCGCTTTCAACTGGGTGCGCACCTTTGAGGATAAGCTCATGCAGATCCTTGAGCCAGAGAATGTAGATCTCAAGAAGCTCGGAGGCAAACCCGTCGACGAAGCCGTCGAAGATGAACTCGCTCGCTTCGTCAAGCAGGAGGACGAATCCAAGTTCCGCTGCAAGGTGCCCGAGTGCACCAAGCTGTTCAAGGCGCATAACTTCTGGCGCAAGCACGTCGAGAAGCGTCACGAGGAGTGGTTCGCCGAGATAAAGCACGAGGTAGGTTTATCTTACATCTTACATCTTACACCCAATTTCTTGTTTGTTATTAACTTCTGTAGCTCTCCCTCGTAAACGCCTACGCCCTCGATCCAGCACACATCTCACCCACTCGCTCCGACGCAGCTAGCAACGGCCACTTCCCCTTCCCCCCAGGCCACATACCCGCCGGCACCCCGCGCGGATTCAACTACAACACCATGCCCTTCATCTCCAACACTGCCTCCTTCAACGGCATGTCCGTGGCCAACCACGCTGCCGGCTCTAACCCTATGCTCAACATGCTCCCGCACGACGGCCTGCATCACCACCAGCACCATCCAGGCGTCATCCGGCGCGGCGCTGGGCGCTACGCTCACTCCCATCGCTCTGGACCCTACGACCGCAGAACAGCACGGCATCCCATGTCCGGTCCTCCAGGGGCAGGTCGGTTGTCCCCCTCTCGCTCGATGTTCGGGCGTGTCTCCATGCCGATTCCAGCAGGACATCCGGCCACGGCGCTCATGGGTGCTGGTGCAGCAGGTGTGCCGGGCGGACGATGGGATGCAGCCGCCCAGCAGGCGATGGGGCCCAAGGAGGCCGTGCAGGGCCGGAGCTTGAAGAGTTACGAGGATCTCGATGCCGTCGGGGGTGCTGGCGGAGGAGAACTCAACTATTAACCTACTCCCCTCCCATCTCTACTACCTATTTATATCTTCACCACCTACATCTACCTACCTACCTACCTACCTACCTACATCGCATTCTCTAGTCTTTCATATGTCTACCTGTCCGTCCGTCCGTCAGTCGGTTGCCGTCGTATCATGTACGCTAACAAAGTTATCTATCTCAAAAAATAAATCTCCATTAATCTACTCTTCTATTTCCACCATTAATCACATCCGTATCACCACCCGCTCACCTGCATCCCGCCACTCCACGCCTTCCAAACCCGCTATCGCCCTATCACTAGCCATGTACAGAACAAGGTACATCGCACCCACCACCTCTCCCCACGTACACACACGAACCTCCACAGCTCGTCCACTACCACGTCCCCCATCCCCTTGCTCATCCGCAACCTCCTCCGCAACACACCACACCCCCCACCCTGCCCGGCCCGACCCCACGTACTCACCCAAGTACCCCCAGAACCGCATGAACCGCTCCGCACTCCACCCCCCACCACCATCGAGTACAAGAGGGATACGTAGAAACCAGTATCCGCGCTCGCACACCCGCAGCTCTCGCGCGATGTACTCCGGCGCGTACCGACGGGATAATTTCGGATGGCAAACGAGCATGCGCAGCGCGGGCGTGAGATGCGTTTTGAACCGCGCTGTGGACGACGGGATGGGGTGCGGCGGATGAATCTCCATTGGAAACTGCAATTCATCGCTTACCGCCTGGGAAGCTTCCTGCGTAGATACCTGCGTAGAGACCTGCTCCCGCTCCTGCTCCCGTTCCGATAGGGAGGTAGTGGTTTCAGAGGAAATGGAAATATACACCGGCACAGGCTTGATAGGCGATGCGTCGGGGGTGGTATTCCGCTCTATACCCGTCCATGTCAACGGCGGAGTGGGCGTGGGCGTGGGCGTTGGCGTGGGAGTGGGCGTATCCGTTCGATCCGACTCTGCCTCCGAGTAGCGTATGGGCGAACCACCCGCTGAATCAGGCACGGTTGACGGAGGCGTGGGCGTGGGCGTGGGCGTGTCGGTGCCATCCCGCACTTCCGGCTCTGGCTCCGGCTCCGGTAGTGCATCCTGCGTACATGGCCAGGAACTACTGAACGATCCGAAGGTGGTTTCGCCTTCATCCCTGCTTGATGGAGAAGCAGGCGCTTCTTCGTCCAGCGGCGTAAGACGCGTTCGCCTGCCGGGCTCGAAGGCTAGACATGCCGAGGCGTGGGAGCGGTATCTCGTGTCGTCTCGTACGCTGCCGGGAGCGGATATGTGTACTAATACCTCGACGGAGCTGGAGTTGGAGTTGGAGCTGGTCGAGAGCTGGGACATTAAGGATCAGGGAGCGAGGGGAAGGAAGGTATGTGTCGGCAATGGGCTGTTCAGGAGGCTTAGACCAGAGCCAGCGTGCATTTTGCTGTATGGCTGGGCGAGTATGCTTGGTAGGTATGTAGTTATATACCTTGCTGCCGTGCGTGCCGGTGAGGTTGGCAAGCTGGTGGTTTGGAAGAATGCAGGAGATTTCAATTTCATCCAGGTGGACTAAGTTAGCGCGTGCGTGGAGCCTGCGGCTATTAATTTCCTCTACGCGTCATTGGACGATAGCCGCCTTTTGACAATACTGTGCTCCATATAGTACATATTTAAACTCCATATTTATCCAATAATGGCCTATACAATGACGATACACGAAATTCCTTTGTGAGGGTCCGACTCAATCACAGTTTTCGGACAAGATGAATGCCCCCTGAGCCACTCGATGTTGTTGAACTCTTCATACACGTCCTTGACTCTGTGAGTATTTGGGTCAAGCGTGATAAAAGCTACACCCGCAGTAGGCAGCATGCCAGGCCGAGATTCAGCATGCAACGTAAACCTGAATGCGATGGAGTGGCAGCCGTGGTCCCAGGCCATCACATCAATGATGCCGCCCGCAGCGGATAGGTCGTTTTCATTAAAATGGGTAAAAAGTTCATTCCTGTTATAGAATACAGGGAGTGAAACCTGGATACGTGGATTAGCACGCTCTTCTGTTTGCCACATTCCGACTGTCACTGCCTAATACAATGGGTACGTAGAAGAGAGGGGGGGAGGGAAACGGGCATACCATGCGGCCGCCGTTGACACTGTTCTGGCTCTCGGAAAATAGACGAAAGCTTTCGTCAAACAGTTCATGCTGTTGGTCGTGTTTCCGAGACACCTTGACATCGATCCATTTCTGAAGGATCACTTCGGCTTCCGCCCTCGTCAGGCATTGATTTTTTGGAGCCTCGGTTGGAACAGGTTCGTGAGAGCGGCCGCTAGGAATAGTTAGCTAGAGAACAAATTACACCTTCCAAACGAACATTGACTCTTTAGATTCGCCGCTTTTTCAGCCACATTCCATTCTCGATAGGACGAACCATACCTGTTCAAAGATACCGAGAACTCCAGCTTTTCAAAGAGTGCTACGCTCAGAAACAGCACCAGCAAGGCGAAGACGCTGATAATTGATTTGTGACCCATATTTTGCATGTTCCAAATTCGGTGTCAAAATTTCAGACCAACCGCAAAACACTTGGTGCGCTGCCTTTATATAACCGATTATCGGTAGAGAGTCTGACGTAGCCAAAAAGTATATGCGAAGGTAGCGGTCCGTGACTCTCTTCAGGCCGAAAACACGATCGCAACTCAGGACTCCGTTGGATCCTGTTGAAGTCAAGGCGTAGTTTCTCTCTCCCGGCTCATCGAAACAAGTGGTATAGCCCTCCGATGCTCTCTATGCCTTCTCTATGCTCGCCACGGATGAAATGGATTTCGGCTTTAGAGTGGCCAGCGTGATGCCCTAACCAAGCGATGTTAGGCTTGCCTCCTTTTTTGCCTTCCTCCCTGCGTCATCGACTTCCCGAAGACATCGCCTCCGGTGCTCTGACCCGACATATCAGCATCAGGTGATGCGCGTATCAGAGGGTTCACATGGAACGAAGAGAGGGACACGAAACGTCAAGAGCCTCCTTGTGTAACCACATCTTGGACGTAAAAGCACGGCACCATCCTGCATGCTGCATGTCAACGCAGGCGTTGAAAAGACTGTCCAGAGCGTTGAAAAGGCTTATCCATGGATGTTTACGCTCGCAGAGGAACAACTCCTTGCCTCATCCGCTTTTGGAAGGCGGTGAACAGGCAGAGACAATAGGGTTTGGCAGAATGACTAAGCGCAGAAATTTTTAACGTTTCCAGTATCCGGATTATGCTTAAACTCAACGGACGATTCTCATTGGTCAATCGTTTCGATGCTCAGACTATACAACATCCGCCTTCGAGGGATCCGGGACATTTCCGCTGCTTCACCAGAGAGGAAGGAAGATACCACAATGGGAGCTACGGGTAGGCCGTGGCTCTCTGGAAGCATGGAGAGTGGCTGCAGAGGCTGTGGCTCTACCCATCAACAGATGGGTATAGACCCTGCAACAGAATGCAACGGCCTACTGCTCTGCTATATCAATACCGCATGGGGATATTCTCATGAACTCGCTGTACCGTGATAGTATATATCTATGATGGACATGATACCTATGCGGGGTTTTAGTTTGGGAGTGGTTGGAGATATCATAGGCGTTACCAAATCTGCTCAAACGCGTAACCCCCCCTTTGCTTTGGTTCAAGAGAGTTGATGGTTGATGACGTCCATGACTTTTGTGAGTCAACTCGGGATATATGTATGAACCCTTCTCTCTCCAAATGAGATGCCCACCCTACCACACTCTCCCCTATCAATACCCCCTACACAATACCCTCTACACAACCACCTCCTATACAACACCCCCGTACACAATACCGTCTACACTATATCACTTACTCGATACCACTGACTTACAAGCGCTTACTCGACAAAAATATCCCCATCGACTACACTCCACCCCTATCCCAACTATTCTAAACTCATACAAAAATTTTCAATCTTATACAGTCCTAATCCCTATTTAAAACCTCCTAACACACCAATTTACTCATAATGGACCGCATTTCACTTCTTCCACCTGAAATTCGCAGCATGATCGCCGAAGAGTGCGACTCAAGGACCCTACGCTCCCTTTCATTAGTGTCAACAGCCTTTCGTGACCCAGCCCAGAGCGCGCTCTTCCGTTCGATAGATCGATTGTTCGAGAGGCAGGCAGATGTGAGAGCTCTAGGAAGGCCTGGAGCAATTAACCGATACAGAACTTCCTGGATTCACCTACTCCTTCGTACGATCTTTGAATGCCCACGGTTCGCCAGCTACGTCAGACATGTTCATATTTCAGTTGACGAAAGTTGGATCCCCGTTCCATTCTACGACAACAGAAAGGAGAACCTCATCCAAAGCCCTAAAAGAGTTGTACCCCCTGAATTCAAAGAGCTAGGTCTCAAGCGCAAGGACGAAAAGCCCTTCCTTCTAGAGAGTAAGACATGGGACAAGACCTGGGTTGCGGCTCTCTCCCAAGGCAACGACGAAGCAATGCTGGCCGTGGCTCTATCTCAGTTTGACCTTCTTACATGGATAGATATAGCGCCAGAATTGTTCTACTACTCCGAATTCATAGCTCCCATGTTGGCCTGCCTGTCTTCACACATTCCCGAGTTCAACCATTTCCCTATGCTTCAACATGTGTCACTTTGCAGACGGGAAAATCACCATCACTCCGGAGAGTTAGGATTGCGTTTTGGAAAATTCTCAATCATGCGATATCATAATATCAGGACACTCGAGTTGAGTGCTCACGACAGCCATATGAAAATCATGCGAAAGGATCTTCTTAATACACACCCGTACCTTACCACCCTCCGTCTCAAGTTCTGCGATTTAACCATCTCCACGGTCGGGGATATCCTGGACCATACACCAGCCTTGAAGGTTTTCGAGTGCTGCTTGCTCCGTGAATACTCGTCCTATACTCGTCAGGCCTACAACCACCAGTCGATGAAGCTTTCCGAGCTTGACTTTGGACAGTTGGCTGCAGACCTTGAGAAAGTCGCCAGTACCTTAGAGAAGCTTACCATAGGCGTTGTCTGGAGTAGCGTGGGATTTTATGCGTACGAACAAGAGCCCAGTTGGTTCCGCGGCATCCCAGTGTACTCGCTCAGACACTTGGAGCACGTCTCGCACCTACAGATACCCGTGGAAATATTGATGGGCTTGCGTCCGTGGACTGGTCCCTTGCTTTCCCAGACCCTCCCACCGAACGTAGAGTCCCTAGTTCTGGTAGATACGCTTCCGTACCCTTACCGTGAGGATTACTTAGAGAATTACAGCGCAATGCCCATCATGCACCAATTAGAGGTCTACCTCGCAGAAGACCCTCCCCGGAAGCTGCGGAAAGTGACAGTGAACGTCTATATTAAACTGGAGTTCTGTTTCTTCCACAGCTGTGAGCAAGAAGTACGGAGATATATTGACCTTGACGAAGTCCGATTGCTAGGCGTGTCTCTGGGCAATCGTGGTGTCAGCCTGGAGATCTGCTTTCTCTGGACGGAATATGACGAGGCGACCCCCTTATGGAAAGGCACCTGGGGCCCCGGCACGGAAATTGAGCTCTCCGACCTCAGCCTTCATTTTGCTCCTGTAAGCACACCTGAAGGGGAAACAGAAACAGAATCGGAAGAAGAAGATGATGATTATGAAGATAGTGGTGAAGAAGAAGAACAGAGTGACACCTGAGGCTGGGTCCGCGGTTTAGTTCCTTTCTCGATCATTATTAGTTATTTTAACCCCCAGTTTCAGTTTCCTGCACCCACCACCGCCTCAAGGCAATTTGTCTCAAGTTGATCTGCTTACATTCCCCCCAAAATTGACCTGATTTACCTGCTTTATCCCCCCAAAAGTGCCAATTTTATGTCTTTTTTTTCGAGTTTTTTTTGATATCCGACTTTCAGAAATACGCCGAGTAAGCGTGGCGATACCGCTGACTAATGTATTATAATATTGTTGTCCAATAGCATCACAGAAATACAAAAAAAATATCAGCTCACCTCGTTGTGGGTTGTATAAAATACCGCTCCCCCTTGGCCTGCAGTTTTTCTTCATTCTTAGTATCTTGTAGAAGCACGAAAGAACCGACAACCACAGAGTAAAAAGCGAGAGAGAGGCCAACCGCCTGCGGCCCCGACCAGAAGCGCAGAACCGTCGAGCGGCGCAAGTTATCGGCCCATCTGCGGCCGGGATCGATAGCTGGATCTGCCTCCGCCGTACGGAGCACGCTGCTCCCGCGATCTCCAGCTAGCTAGCGGGCTGGCCAGGGTGTGCAAGCGCTCAGCCACCAACGTCAGCCAGCTGCTGAACGGTCCCCGATATTTAGAGCGACTCCTAGGCCCGTTCTACCTGGTCCATACCACACAGCCTTGAGAGGAAATAAAGCCACGGCGGCCGGTTAATTCGCCTGTTTCCGAATCGTTATCGGTCTTTGAAAGATGGCCTCAGGCGCATCCCAGGTCAGTCCCGACGCTAATAGCGTGCCCACCGGCATCGATCCAGGTACGTCTGCAGCTGTCCGTCTCGTATTACACAATGCTTGATTTATATATGTCCTATCTACCTTGGTAATACCTTTTTTTTTTCATGGTTGCATGTTTGCACGTTTGTGGTTTATGTGGGGTATATATGGCCATCTTTTTGGTTGGATTCGCTGCCTGGGGATGTGTTTCTTTCAATATCGTACTCTGTGCCCTCCAAGGGGTGCAGGATCGTGGCTTTGATACGGACACTTACCGCCAATGCACCTGTTTCCGCCTATGATGGGTCAGCTCAAGGCGTATCCATAACCGGGAGACTCCTCTCTTGCCTACGACCCCTGAGCTTAACCGATCATTTGGCGGAAACAACTCTGCGTCTGCTTGCTTAGGGCCTCCAATTGTTCCCATCAAGAAGCCGTCGTTGGCGAATTTACCGTTTATCAGGAACTTCAGTGACCCGCTGAAGAAGTCACCCAGCGGTAAGTTGGGGCAATCTAGTCTATTCGTCCAAGCGTGCTTTTTTATTCGGATGAGTTCTGATCTCGCAATACAGATGGACAACAAGGACAGCCGAAGCGTCGTGGTCCGAAGCCAGACAGCAAACCAGCCCAGACGAGAAGACAGGAATTGAACAGACAAGCACAAAGGACACACCGCGAGCGCAAGGAACAGTATATCCGGGCCCTAGAGGTGGAAATAACCCGCCTGAGAGAGGGGTATGCCACTGATATCGAAGGCGCAAACGTGTCCATCATGCAGCAGAAACAAGCTCTAGAGGAGTTGAGAGACGAGAATCGAATGCTAAAGGAGATCCTCGCATCTCACGGAATCAACTTTGAGGCTGAATTGGAGAAGCGCGGCGCTCCCGTCCAGAGTACCCCGCAGGAGAGTAGCTACGGAGGGAGCGTCGCACCTTCACTCCCTCAAATCGCCCCTGATTTAGGTAGCATGAACTACCTGGGTACTCCAGAGACCTCTATCTCCGGTCGAAGCCCTGGAACCACCACGTCGGAAATGGCACAGCTGCCGGCTACTGGGTCCAATAACCCGTACTTTGAATCGGCAATTCCTGTGGCCGCTACGGGTAATGCTCTATCATCTAGTGACACTGGTGGCGGATCTGCCTTGGTCAGTAGCACCCCTGGCGTGTTTGATGTTGATCCGCAGCTTGGGATAGATTTTGTCCTTCAGTGAGTGGCTAGATTTTTGATCACAGAAAGAACAAAGAAGAACTACTTTCTAACCGCAGGCACAAATAACTACAGTCTTGAAAAGCCATGCAACTGGCACTTGGAATTCATTTGCCGCAGGGCACACGATGACGAGAACCAAGAAGCAGTCTCCGGGCACTCGCTGATGGCATCATGCCCAACATCGTCGGTCATAGCCAACACCGAACGAGGCCAGACCTATGAAACCAAAACCTACGACCTCCCGCCTGCAAACCTGAATACATTGCTCAACCTCAGCAAGCAGTTGGTAACGGACGATGAGATCACTCCAATCATGGCGCTACAGCTTCTTCGCAACCATGACGCATACCCTTATCTGACCCGTGAGGACATTGCACATATAATGAGTGATCTAGCGGCGAAAGTCCGCTGCTACGGGTTTGGCGCTGTCCTTGAAAACTTCGAGGTAATGGACTCGCTAAACAGTGTTTTGACAAGCAAGATGGACTATGCGATTGCCAGCTGTGAGGGCAGCTCGTCGTTAATTTCTCCGCCGATCCAAAGTGCGGACGTGTTGGACATGTATTCATGATGTTTCTTTTTCCTTTCCTTTTCTTTTTCTTTTGGAGAGTTCATCTAATATATTATCAGCCCCTATGCACTATACATTCTTTTCCTCTGCTCTTGGATTTAGCCCTCAGTTGTAGTTAAAGCTTTTGTCTTCTGGATACAGGGGAGGGATATCTGTATGCCGCCCACGACTTCGGCAAATAATCTAATAAGATTGTCTTAGTATTTCCACTCCCATTGCTACAGTCTACCCAGAACCATCCTATCAAGGGCATCAACACTGAATACATCCAGCTGGTCCCTCTTCACTGAGTATCTTCGACCTCTTCGGCCTTTGCGGTTGTATGTGCTTACATAATCCACCCTGGCGAGCCAAGATTTCAACCCACATGAAAAAGATCCAAAAAAAATATCAACGCCATCAAGCAACGAGAAAAAAGCCACGATCAAAGGGCACTTTGAGAATACCAGATTGCCAGCTTGATAGACCGAGATAGCCATGGCTCCGCTATCGATATTGGACCTTGTGTCCGCGCTTCCCTCTGATGATACCTGGGGACCTGCCGTCACCACCGAAAAGACGCTCGATGGAGTCCCATATGCCCCCTTCTCAAAGGGCGATAAGTTAGGCCGCATGGCTGACTGGAGTTCGGAGGGCAAAGATGGCCGTGACGGACGTGGTGGACGACAGGCTTACAACCGTAACTACAGAGGTATGGCTTTTCCTGGGGAACAGTAAAGCGCGGTCATTTCCATTTGTGAGGGGTACACTTTTGGCTAACGGGTCCTGGTACAGATCAACAAGTATACGGTGCTGGGACTGGCAGTTTGTTCGCTGTTCAGGTCGCCGAAGATGAATCAAGCTTCTCCGTTGTCGATAACACTCGAACATCCGTCAAGTCTCGCGGATTCGGCCGAGGTGGCGGTACCATTTTCCGCGGTCGTGGACGAGGCGGCCCCCAGAGAGGAAGGGGAGGATTCCAGAGAGTTGGAGGTGGTCGTGGTGGCCAGGGAGGAGACAGATATTTCGACAGCCGTGGTGGACGAGGTGGCCGTGGTGGTGGCCGACGTTTCGGCTGGAAGGACTATGATAAGCCACAGCGAAACCGAGACAGCTCTATTGCCATTCGACCAGAGTGGACTGTGCTGGAGGAAATCGATTTCAACCGCCTCGCTAAGCTCAATCTCGAGACTCCCGAGGGTCAGGACATTGATACCTATGGTTTCTTGCACTACTATGACAGATCCTACGACAAGGCTCCTGTCAAGGGTGCTGAGAAGAAGTTGCAGTCATTGGACCGCGCTGCTTACAACGTCACCACATCCGCAGACCCCGTCATTCAAGAATTGTCCGAAAAGACGGATGCTACTGTCTTTGCCACTTCAGATATCCTTTCAATGCTCATGTGTGCTCCTCGCAGTGTTTATTCATGGGATATTGTCATCGTTAAGCAAGGTGATAAGATCTACTTCGATAAGCGCGACAATGCGTCCATCGACCTAGTCACCGTTAACGAGAATGCCACCGATGCACCACTAGAGGTTTCTGAAGCTCAGTCTGGCACTAAGCACGACCCAATCAACACCCCCGGTGCACTCGCACTTGAGGCCACCATCATCAACCACAATTTCACCCTCCAGACCGTGGTAGAGTCGGACACTTCCAAGGTCGACTACCCCAACAGCAACCCCTTCTACAACCCCTCCGAAGAAACCGAACCTCTTGCTTCCAAGGCATACAAATACCGACGCTTCGACCTTTCTGTTGGCGGAGAGGAAGAGCCAGTTAACATGGTTGTTCGAACCGAAGTTGATGCAGTGATAAAGAACGTCAGCGGAGATGACCACCTCGTCACTCTCCGTGCCCTCAACGAGTTTGACCACAGAGCACCTGGTGCCGGTGGTGCCCTTGACTGGCGCAACAAGCTCTCCTCCCAGCGTGGTGCCGTCGTCGCTACCGAGATGAAGAACAACAACTGCAAGCTTGCCCGATGGACTACCCAGGCGCTCCTCGCCAAGACGGACATTCTCAAACTTGGTTTCATTGCCAGAGCCAACCCACGCTCTGCTTCCGCTCATATCATCCTTGGTGTTATGGGTTACAAACCCCGCGAATTTGCCGGGCAGATGAACTTGAACATCAACAACGGATGGGGTATTGTACGGACCATCGTCGACCTTATCCGCAGTCATGATAATGAAGAAGAGGGTGACGAGGAGACCGTCAAGAAGTATATTCTTGTCAAGGATCCCAACAAGCCTGTTCTCCGTCTCTACGGTGTTCCATCTAACACTTTTGAAGAGGACGAGGATATGGGACAAGGACGGGATGGAAAGATTGATGAGGAAGACGAGTAAACCCGGTCTCTCTTTGATCATTTTGTGTAGGCCGTTAAAATGTTTATGACCTTTCTACTTTCTTGCTTTTTATTATTTAACGATCAAGAGGGTACCCTACTTAATGCCATTTTATTGATTTATTTTTATCATCCAAAGACGAAGCTAAGTAGATATCATTCATGTGTGCGACGTCAGTACTTGAAGGCAGACAATTCCTCTTCAGATTATTTAGAACTTGCACAAGGACCGATTTCATAGAATACAATTAATGTATTTATTTCTGGGTATGGCTAGTTATTTTGTCCCCTCCCTCGAACAATTGGCAGCTTTTCCTTCCATTCCACATATATAACATCAAGTGGACGGACGAGCAAACTATCCTATAACTCCTTCGCTTGGGACCGACTAAAGTGATATATATAGACAACAAAATTGCGGTAAACGAAAGGAATGAAGTATTGAAAGAGACAAGGAAACGTGTTTTAAGGATGGGAAAACGTTGCAAGGACCAAAGAGTCGAGATGAACAAGAGTAGGGACCGGATCAAGTGGGAAGCAGAAAGTGGTATTTACAATGAAAGAAAAGGAGTGGGCAAAGCGCATAAAACAAGAAAGTAAACTAAAAGATCGCTCCGAATATCCATTGGCACATAACTCCGGAAGGTGTAGACTGAGAAAGAAGGTAGGAAATGTGATAGCTGGATGAAAGCCTCAGGACGTGCAGCTACCGTCGCATCCAGCCTAGGACGCGATCCCTGGTATGCAATTTGGCTTGGTCTGATGCCCGTGGTGTTGGCTCTTCACTGGGAGTTTCGGCTCCCTTATCACCAAGATGGCTGGCGCTGATATGCGGTTTAGGCGTGATATCGTTGTTGTCATGTACATCACTCTCTTCACCCAAGTTGACAGTCTGATGCTCAGGTGTAGTTGTCGTAGTACCCGGTGATATCAGGGGCGGGGTTATTCGGCCTGTCTCAGTTGCTGCGAGATGGGTGGAGGGAGTAAGTGATCCAGGCTGCAAGTTGAAAGCCGGTCGCTCCTTAGAGAGCCGTTGGCTTAATCCACTAATGACAGGCTTGCTTAGTGGGGTACTGCTAGACGAAGCTTCCTCCTTTTCGGGATCCTCAGGAAGGACGCCTAGGGCTTCTTCATTTATGTGCAAGCGCTCGATAGTGCTCTCAATAGAGGTCGGAAGAACAACAGTAGAAGCCGTGTCGGAGGATGCAGTCTGCGTATCGGATTCCACTTCTCGCTCTTTCATATAATCCTCGTTCACGCTCACTACACTGCCACGACTGTTCGTCCTCATCATTTCCGTACCGAGCTTTGAACCAGATCGCCGGGTTCTCCCTGGGGTAAACTGTGGGCTTTTACGGACTTGCGTATTACCAAGTTCTTCATCTTCATCATCTCCGGATTCAGCGCCTTCATATCGTTTCTTTTCTAACGACTCTCGCTTAGCTCGGATGCCTTCCATAGAGCTATGTTTTCGTGGAGTAGACACGCCTGGCATGGAAAAGGCGGCGGGCGCGGATGTTGCGTGCATAAGACTGGGTGGAGTGGTGGACGATGGGTATTCAGCCACAATAGGTCTTGAGATAGCAGCGGAGCCATCATCAGTGATACCTAACCCTCCAGTCCGACTCCGGTCCCAGCTCTCATTGGGTCGATGGCCGACAATGACGGGGATATCATCAGACCTCGTCGACTCGATTTCTCCGACCAAGCTGTTACTATCGATCGAGTCTTCTCGGCTAGATCCTCTGTACGACCCCGTAGGTATCGTAACAAATCCAGAAGATCCAGAGCTAGGACTATCTTCAAGTGCACCAGACTTTCGCCGCAACACAGAATACGACGGCGGATTCAACATCATCGGGGTATCATCCTTTGGTGGAGGCTTCCATTGGCAGAACTTGCAGAGAATTTCGGTCAACTTCTGTAGAGTTGGAGGTTTCTCGATTAAAGAGTCAAAATGATGTGTTTCTGGAAGATCTTTTAGATAACCTGTCACTGCAATGATAGGAGTGTGGGTATTAACACTCCTCGTCTCCCGAATCATGCGAGCAACATCAGCTCCGTTGATTTGAGGTAGCTTGAACTCTGTCATGATGACATCAAATTGCACCTCGCTTAGAGCATATCTCATCGCTTCCGACCCGTTAATTGCAGTGATAGTCCGACACCGCAACTTCTCAAAGAGCGTCTCCATAACCAATCTTGAGACAGGATGGTCCTCGCAAATCAAGATATCGAGTGGCCGGAAGAAAGGACCTTCCACCAGATTGATTTGAGATAACCGGCGAGAGCTCTGTCTTCGTCTCTGAACTTTTAGCAATGCTTTAGCACGAGGATCTTCATTATCCGAGGATGATGGAGAAATGTCCCAAAGTTGACTCTTACGCTTGCAATGGCCTGGAACAAATGGCTCCTTTGCAGGAGTCAGGTCACTGTCTTGAGAACCTATCGTGTGTGATCTAGATCGACAGGACGGCACACTGCTTTGACGATGCAGGGAGGGGGTGTCAGATGAGATTGACGTCTTCATGCTCTTGATAGGCGAAGACGCAGTTGACGTTGAGATCTTCAGATTGGTAGAAAGCCGCGGGGGTTCAAAACCGCCGCTTGTAGGTGCAGAACCAACCGAAGGTGGTGAGAACGTTGATGAACCTGATGTTTTCCGTCGTTCATGGTGGCCTGAGGTGCTAAATTGGACGAGCAGTGGTGAACCGGGTTGGGAGGGCCTACTAGGGGAAGATGAACTTGGAAGGCTTGCGGCTGATGGGGACGCCGGTCGGTTATTGGCCTTATTTTGAGACATTGTTCTCTTCAGCGGCATTGGTAGGAGTGGGCTGCCTTCAAGAGAAGGGCCGGAGGGTGTGGCAGGACTATTACTTGGAACTGCGCGTTGCTGAGCCTGCATAGCATCGTGTCGTAGTTTCTGGATGACATCTTTGTTTGCCTTCTCAAGGATCGGAAGATTCTTGAAGTTAAAGCTTCCAAAGTCATCGGCCAGTGCAGGTTCGCTAAGCCGGCGGCTCCGAGTATCACGCACATGAGGCGGAATGTGGAGAGGCATCAGACCACGTTTCAAGGAGTTCACCTGTGTCTTCACCTTATAAAGGGCGTCATGAGGTCGGTCGGGATAGTCACCACTAGAACTAGGGGACGAAAGCTGGCCCTCGAACTCTTCATTGAAAGCCTGTAGAGTCGCTCCACGTGAATCGAAATATTCAGTATCCTCCGGGTTCTCCGGTGCAGGAACGAACTGGGCTTCATCCTCTAACAGTGTATCCCAATTGATATCAGAAAACCATGGGTGTGCACGGACTTCTGCACCACCACTAGGATATTTCTCATCGATATTGGCACCTAGGCGCTCATGAGGATTTATGGTAATTAATCTTTCCATGATGTCCTTGGCTTCGCGTGAGACTAGTTCATCAGCCTCATCAGGCCAATTGATTCTTCGATGAAGAATGTTCTCAAAAACTTCATCAGGGGAAGAAGCGTTGAATGGTGGGTATCCATAAAGGAACTCGAACAGTATGCAGCCTAGAGACCACCAATCACTCATTTCATCTTGGCCAGTACCATTAATAGTTTCGGGAGCGAGGTAGTCAGGTGTACCAACGAAACATCTATTGTGGTCTTGTGGATCGAATAATGCCATTGGTGGAGGCACCATTTGTTGTTGAGAAGTTTCAAACTGTGATGGTATTGAAGGAGCAGTGTAACTCGACGAAGGCTGTGCAGGGAATAGATGAGGAGAGTCGCTTCCCTCACTGAGTATCTCCTCGTCTATTGTGGATTTTGATTGTTGGAGGGACGGGTAGGCTGCTGGCGTCAAGGGGTTGGAACCAGTGGTATCACTAACCGCGCAATTTCTCATCATTTGACTAAGAGTGTCACTGCTCCCACTATCACTGCGATAGCCAGATGCCCTTCTTGAATGCTCACGACTTAAAGAAGGTTCCTTGCTTAAGCTGAAGTATGACGGCTGCGTCAACACAGGTTCCGGGACGATCAATGGAGTTTGGTGGGGGGAGTCCGTGGCGGGGAAATCAAACGACGCAGATCGTGAGGACGCAATAGAAACATCAGGCCGAGTGAATGGGCCCTGTTTCAACAAGTCTGGGGCTGAATCATTAGGGCTCTTCTGGATACGCTTCTGTCGGCCAACAAGTCCCATTCGCGAAAGCCCAAAGTCAGTGAGTTTCAAGTGACCCCTTTGGTCAATTAGAAGGTTATCTGGTTTGAGATCACGGTGAACAATACCCCGACTGTGGAGGTGTTCCACGCCCAAGACGACTTCTGCAATGTACTTTTTGGCCCAATCTTCGGAAAGACCGCCAAGAACTTTGACCAATGAAGCACAATCACCACCGTTTAAGTACTCCATAACAAGATAAAGATAGTCCTTGCTAGAAAATGTCCAATAGAGCTTTGCAACGAAGTCGCTTTCGCCCTGCCACATCATGATTGCTCGCTCTGCTTTGACATTTGTAACCTGGTTCTTGGCTACCATGTCAGCTTTCTTCAACACCTTGATGGCAAAGTATTCTGCGGTAGATTTCTTCTTGGACAGGTAAACACTTCCGAAGGCTCCTTTGCTAATTGGCTTGATGATCTCGAAGTCTTTGATAGATGGAGCAACGGCAGGAGGAGGTGGGTGACTGGCGGAGGTCAGGTGTGGTGATATTGGAGCTTTCCCAACATCAGGCGAGGTTGCTGACGACTGGCGCCTATGGTGGTGACGATGTTGAGGAGGGGGATAAAATTGTGCATGGCCATGAGCTGCCAGTTCGGTCGATGTTAGATGTGGAGAGGTAGACGGCGATGGTAAGTTCTCGCTTCCGACTGGGAATCGTGGCCTGGATAACCTTAATGGAGAGTGTGGGGGGTTATTGCGAGCAGGGGATTGCCTCCGAGGCGATGAAACGCCGGGCAGAATAAGGCTGCGGCGATTTTTGTCCTTTGCACTGGCAGCTCGGCTCGGTCCGCGCTCGGAGAGAGGAGACTGGGTCCTACGCTCGGACAAGACAGAGGAGAGAATGCTGCTGTCACTGTCGGCTGCATCGCTTTCTCTCTCTGCAAGCAGAGACCCGCGCTTCGAGAGAGATGGGTTGACAAAGCTGCCCAAGCTCTTGAAGGAACGCGGTGTTGGGCATTCCATCGGACTGCTGGAACGGGTGGAGATTGGGATGGGAGTTGTTGGTGTCCGTTCGAGAGCACGTCGAAGTCCCCGATCACCTGATAAGGAACGAGCAGTGCTACCGACGGACATTGCAGACATAGAAGGGGTTCTTTCTAGAGGAGTAACTTGAGGCACACTACCGGTCTCCTGGTCTTCTGTTGCAGTTTCTATGTCAGAGGAAGAGCTTGAACTTTCGAGGTTGCCTGTAGCGATACGCTCAGCCTTAGCCATAGACGCAGCAATACACTCTTCAACTATGACGGTGAACTCAATTCGAATACGCTCAGCATATTCAACGATACGCCGATGTCTGAAGACGGCGTCGACCTTTGCACGGGCGACCTCCTCGGTATCAGCAGATAAGGCGGCCAGACCCTTCTCCTGCTCTAGAGTGTGATTGCTAGGTGACTGCCATTGAAGAACCTGAGAAATCCGTGATTCGGACTGAGGGGATTGTGTCCTGACTTCATCCCCAATATCCGTCCGTGATTCTTTGAGGGCCGGCGTGCTAATCTCTAGTGCGGTGTCACAGAGGTCTAAGATCAGTTCCACAATCCGGGCCAAGGGACGTCTCACGGCGAAGGACCGTCCACGAGAGTGTCCTAGTCCGGAAGTGGACGGGTCGCGAGAGCGAGGAGGAGTACCAGAGGAGGACGATGAACCAGAGACAAGGCCAGAGGTAGAAGCCGGAGAAGGACCAATCTGCAGACCCTTATACTCTGCCTGTGGACCGACGAATGGACTGCTGTCTCTGCTCTTGCGAGCTTCTAGGGCATCGAGAACCTTGACAATCCTATGACGGTGTTCATTCAAATTTTCCTGCGCCATTTGAACATCCATCTCTGCTCGATGCTCTTGCAGACAAAGTTCTGAGTGTTTCTCAAACCACCAGGGCGTGATTTGCCTCTCACATATCCGGCAGAGGACGGGCATAGGGGGCGGGTGGTGAGCAGGATCACTGATCCCTACTTCAGCCAGAACGTTGAGATAGTTGGCCAGAACTTCAGCTCCGACGCCTAGGGATTCAACGAGCAGTGGAGGAAGACCTATCGTCACTTCTCGAGGCTCAGTAGATGGCCGAAGCATCCACATAGTCTTGGGAGAAGAGTTGTCAGTAATTGTATTTCAAAAAAATATTTATATCTCAGGGGCTTCGGAGGTTACCTACATGGCTACTGCCACCAGATGTTCTATCATAGACCATGATTCCCTGGCCTTCTAGGCTTAGTATGTTGCCATCTTCCTGCTCGGCAGACTCCTGTGCATGTAGCGTCTTTTCTGCATCAGAGGCTGAGGTTTCCTCCTCTTCATCTGGCAACTTACTATCCTGCCAGAATACCGACAAAGGGCCCAGGCGAACATCAAATCGCACAATTTTACTTTTGGAGTCATCTTCCTTCATAGACTGCACAGCCTCTTTAAAGACGTCTTTGTTGTCCAAAGCAATGTCGTGAATTAGCTGCCCCTCGACCTCCTGGGCATCAGTTCCGATAACCTCAGTCCATGAGGGGCTGACCCATTTTATGCGGCCATCCAGATCCAGATCCACAATCACGTTGAGCGTGTGTTCAGCAGCTTCTTTCAAATCCTCGCGTTCCTCCCTGATATCCTGGCTGAGAGATCGTTCCATTGGGGCGGGAGCAGCAACATTCCGAGCCTCCTCCCGGAGAGCGGTTACAGCAGGAGGCTCGAGGTATCGTGGCGCATCTGAGCGCTCCCGTCCGTCGAGTGACGACATGACGAGAGCGTAAATAGAGTGTGTGTCAAGTCAGAGAGCTGGTTCGTGGAGAGATAAGAGAGACAAACAAACACCGCTATCGAGCGGGCCGGTAGCGAGGAAGAGGTATATCAAGATCGAAAAATGAATGGGTCCGTCTGCCGGGCAGAACGGTGCCCGGACCAGCTAATAGCTTGACCAGTCACCATGAACAGCACATTGTTCCCAAAAAGAGTACGTCGTGGTTCTAGGGAAAGCAGACGAAATTCGAGGTTCAACTTTCGAAGGTACCAGGTGGGTATGTGCCTCTTGTCTCCCCGTCTGCGTGTGTCTGTGTGCGTTTCGTTCGTTCGTGGGAGTTCGTCGTCGGTGAGGTGTTTGTATGCTAGGTACGCCAGCCCTGCTAATTGAACCGCCTCAGCACTTCATAATTCACAGCCAGCAGTGACAGAGGCCGTGGACTGTCCCTCTAGGCCGAACAGGCAGGCTGTCCTGCGTGGGATGCACAGAGATTGCCGTTGAAACACCGATGCTGGCGGTCGTGTCCGCTTTGGCCGGGCTTGGGTGGTGATCAGATCTCGACGATTCGATTGGGAGAGCAGGTCGTCAGGGCCTAGCCAGAGAGTCCGGACATGCTACGAGCGTAGGAACAGCATCGCAGAGACCAGAACCAAACACCGTCACGCCGCTCGAGTCTTGCTGGAGGATGGGATCGAGGCAGAAGCGAAGAGAAAGTCGATCGAGCTCGCGAAGAAGCAAAGAAAGACGAAGAAGTTGAGGTTGAAGTCGACGAGCGGCGAGGTTTACTTTGGTATAGAATACAGGTATCTGTGACAGATGACTCAGCAGAAGAACGCCGACTATTGGCTACGATGACGTCTGCAGCCTGGAAACCATGCAAAGAGGGGGGGTTGCTGTATTGTCACGTATGGTAAATGATCTTCGCTTTTAAGCACTTTCTGTGATTTTTATATAGAAAAAGAAAAGTCGAAAAAAGAAAGAAAACAAGCAGAAGAAGCGAGAGAGAAAAGGCGGACGAGAGGGGGGCAGGGCGAGGGAGAGAAGGAACTGAAGTAAAACGCCAGAGAAAGACTACGCTATGTTGGACATTTCAATCTCCAGCCTGCATCTGTGTACGAGCCGGTGCCATGAAACACGAGCATCTTCAAGACAGAGAGAGAAGAGAGTCAGGCCACCAAGACCAACGCCACTACCCTGCCGATAGCTGCTTAGATTATATATACGACATCACAAGGGCTGGTTTGGCCCTTCCCCAGGGCTGTCTCTGTGCTCTTCTACGACCGTCGTGAAGCCTGCCCTGCAGTCAGGTTGGAACATGTTGATATAGCCATGTCGATTCCGGTGGCTGCTGCGTTGACCACGTCAAATTCCCATTCAATCATGAGGAGAGCTGAGTTTTCTCCCCCCCTAAAATCTGTTTCTGCCTTATTAATAATAATATGTTCGTCCCTTGCGGCTGGCAGAGAGAGCACATGGGCTGATATCTCTGATGAAACGCCCTGAGAAAATAGAGCCTTCAGCCAGCGGGAAATGCAGACGCATCTGATAGGCCTGTCAGCCCGACCCTTTTTGACTGAATACGTGCATGCATGGGGCCACAGGATAAAGATCTGAGAAGGCGCTAGTTTATGTCGGCCACCACCAACGGGCAACGCGTGATCCAAGTCCAACCCTTTCTCCCGCCCGCGCTGACTTCTCTGCCTTCTCCTGGCATCGTATCGCTGGCTCGCCTTGCTCACTACTCTGCTTTTAGCCCACTTAGCTGCGAGGTGAACGGCTGGTTGCTGTCTTCCAACCCCTGGCTTTGATGTCATGAGCGGATGCCACGACAGGGTGTGCACGCGCACGGGAGGTGGTTCATATCACTATTCCATGCAGGAGGTCATCGATATCCGCCGCTGACCACAGAAGCGAATCTAGAACTAGTAAAACCCTGTCTTGGTGTGCGGTGTACTTCGATAGCAAGGAGCTGAGTTCAGTTCACACCGCAAGCCACGCACACGCACACACATACACACACACACACACTCTCTCTCTCTCTCTCCTGCGTCGGCAACGAAGGAGAAAGGGCTGTGGTGTACTCGAATATGGGAGCAACAGGCAGCAACCAACGCCTAGGTGGGCACTGCTCTTCCTCGCATTCCCATCGGCCCGGACCAGAGTCGTTCATCTATCACAAACAGCCTCCTTCACTGCGCACGAGACCACTAGTAAGAGGATCCTAAAATATCATTACAGCGCATCGATACATACCTATACCCCCTCTCCCGCCAAATGTTTAATTCTCGTACAAGGACGGCCCAGAGGAGTTCTTGCATGCACCCCTCTGCACCTTTTATAGCATTCACCACATGAAGATTTGCCCTCCACACCTCTTCTTCTCTTGACAGGAAATCTTACATGCCTCAGCCTGCAGGCCAAGTAGCCGGCCAGTTGCCGAATATTATATTAATACTTAGTTACTTACTCTGCTGCCCATCACGCGGAATCCTGATGTTCGTCCAACTCCACCTCCATTCTAGACCATGGATCTCTTAAACCCAATTCCCCGAGCTTGGTGCGAGTCTCAAGGTTAGGTGGCCCATTCACATTCTGGGATTAGCTGGTCTCGCCACCTGCCATGGCGAATGTTGAAGCTAGCTTATACTTGCCTAACCCTTGCCGATATGATACCACTAGCCGACCATTTAGCGGTGTTCCAAGTGCCAAATCTCCGTTAGCCATATTACTGGCCGTAGGGAGACTAGAGAGGAAATTGAAGATATGACCTTCTCAAGCTTTATGGACCTCGAAGATTTCTCTCGGGATTGAAACAGAGCTTAGCGTTTGATGTATAACCAAAACAAACAAGACTCAAAGCCTTCCAGTCCAAGGATAACAATACCATACTGCTGATTAGCACGAACTGATACATACCCACCGATCCTGCACGTTCTGTTTGTCAAATCCAAGCAAATGGAGCAGTACATATATTTTTGCTCAAATTAAAATATATTGATATAAATATATTCGCTATAGGAGCTAGATGTCTTTCACGATCATATAAATATTATAGATATCCTGTCACAACTTTCTCGAAAAGGTCAAATCAATAAGTCTAAGAAGTAAACAAGGAGTTCTGTGATCTACTCCACTGGCTTACTTCTCTTGAAATACCGTGATAATACAAAAAAAAGGGCCATCCATGCACCCCCACATAGGACACAGTAATTACACAAACTGCAGAATTCTAGTCTGTAGGAACCCGATTGCGGTAACAACAGCCCCATTGGCATCTATTAAGAGCCTCAACCAATAATAAATTTAGAAATTGGTATAAATTGACCAACTATATTTCCAGAGATCTCATTGGTGAAATTTTAAAAATATTTTCATTACTATTCTTACCTAAGCAGATCTTCCCTAAATACACCACTTTTCCAGTCAGCCCACGGCCTGCTTCCCCGGATCTGGTCGACAAGGTATGTAGGTCCACAAGTCTTCAATGCAATTATGGTGGAGCCCGTAATTGAACAGCATCGAAACCTTGTCGCTGTCGCATACTGAAGTTGTACTCCGCGGGAAAGAAAAATCCGGACTAAACATGGAAGATACATGACTAATTTTGACCGCTGATATACATGATAGGGCGTGTCTTTAAGAAATACTTGGTGCCCTTAATTTTTTACACGGAGAACGAGGCTACGTAAAATCTTTGCGATTTTATTGGTTCCATTATAGTCAGTTAACGCCCAAAACGATACCTGGGCGCGCTTCGTAACTTACTAGCCGCACACGCGCCGACCCGAAACCTTAGCCATGTCGACTCATTTATTGCTTCAGCTCCCTTGCCATGTTAATTGACCCACCACCCCGTATGGTGGGATGTTAATAGCTAATTTGCCTGGTTTTGGGGGCAGTGCACAAACACAAGCCCCTGTCAATTAGCCATCTAGTCATGTACTTAGCACAGGATGTCCTCCCGCTCCTTAACGGAAAAGCTGCTGCCTATTTCCTTCTCTCCAGCTAGTTATATAGCCACCAGCTTGTCTACGTTGCAAATCTTCAAAAAACACCCCAACATTTACTGCAATGGCTCAAGACGTCGGCATCAAAGCCATCGAGATCTACTTTCCGAGTCACGTAAGTAGAGAACCACCTAGCCTTATACTACAGTCTTGGGAAGCTGATGTTTTTCAAGTATGTGGCACAATCCGAGCTGGAGACCTTCCTGGGCGCCAGTCCTGGAAAGTATACCATTGGACTTGGCCAGACAAAGATGAGCTTTGCGATGACCGCGAAGGTAGGCATAATCAAGGACGAACTGCACGAGCCAGACTGGGTTGGTTTTATTAATGAGTTTATCAGATATCTACTCCCTTACATTGACGACTGTTTCTTCCCTACTACGAAAGTACTCGATTGACCCCAATACCATTGGGCGCCTTGAGGTGGGGACAGAATCTATGCTGGATAAAGCAAAGTCTTGCAAGTCTGTCCTCATGCAGCTTTTCGGAGAAAACTCCGATATTGAGGGAGTGGACACCTACAACGCTTGCTACGGTGGAACAAATGCTCTCTTCAATGCCATCAATTGGGTGGAGTCATCTGCATGGGATGGCCGAGATGCGATTATTGTGGCGGGAGATATTGCGCTATACGATAAGCCGGCTGCACTTCCCACCGGAGGAGCAGGCTGCGTTGCTATGTTGATCGGACCAAATGCCCCTCTGGTCTTTGAGCCAGCTCGTGGTTCTTTCATGCAACATACCTATGACTTTTACAAGGGCGATTTCAAGTCCGAATACCCGATTGTAGATGGTCAATTCTCGAACAAGTGCTATCTGAGGGCTCTGGATAACTGCTATAAGCGTTATCAAGCGAAGAAGTCTTCTCAGCTTGTCAACGGCACGACGGGGAATACTCCACTTGATTCATTCGATTACTTTGTCTTTCATGCCCCTAACTGCAAATTGGTAGCCAAGTCGTATGCACGGCTGCTATACAATGACTATTTAGCAGATCCACAAAATCCCACCTTCAAGGGTATCCCCACCGAGGTCAAAGAAATCGACTATGAGAGTTCCCTTGGCGACAAGGGCGTAGAAAAAACTTTCATGACTCTAACGCAAAAGCGCTTCTCGAATCGCGTACAGCCTAGTCTTATGGCAGCAACCATGTGCGGCAATTCGTATACAGCATCAGTATACTTTGGACTAGTCAGTCTGCTAAGCAGTGTGCAGGGTAAGGAGCTTCTAGGCAAGAGAGTTGGATTCTTCAGCTACGGGAGTGGTTTGGCTAGCAGCATGTATAGCCTCCGTGTCAAAGGTAATACCGATGAAATGGCACGCAAACTGAACTTGGTTCAGCGGCTTGAAGCTCGAAAGGCCGAGTCACCCGAATTCTACGACCAGGTCAGCATTCACCGCTCTTTTTTAAATGTGTAGCCTTACTAAAAAAAGTAATTTTAGATGTGTCGACTCCGCGAAAAGGCATATCAGCAACGAAATTATACACCCCAAGGCTGCATTGAAAGTCTTGCCTCAGGGACATATTATCTTGTCAATGTCGACGAAGCATTTAGACGAACCTACGCCATTGTACCATAATTTCTCGCCTGCTTCTAATGGTGGGGTTAACATGGCTCTTGCAGAGGCATATCTTTCTCATATTCTGGCCTAGCACAATTTCACGCTTGCATGCCTTAATTAATTGCAAATATAGAAATCTGTACTTCAACACAATAAGCGTTCCATTTTCATCAGCACCTTAAGTGAGAGCTCATCTACCAATGGATGCCGAGGGTATATGATATGTGTAGGAACCGGGAATGCGATCAACACTTGACAGGTTGGCAGTTAATGTATACGTTGGGGGAACTTAGAGTTCATGTTTTGGCGCTTAATTCCATCACGTGAACAGCGGCTGACTTGCACCCCGCTAGTCCCGATCGAGACTTGAAGCTCGAGCCATCAATCAGTTAAGGAGAAATTCAAACTTTGGACAACGTCACGATTCGTTTTTGCAGCCTTGATGAAGATACAAATAGCTGCTCTTCTCCGTTCTCGCAAATTGGCGCAGCATAATCCCTATATACTGTCTTAGTCTCTGGAATTGCTTTCCTAGAAGACAGCTAAATGGCTCAATCCCGTGTTATCGAGCTAGGAAATGTCCTAGTTGTAGGAGGCTGCGGTTTTGTAGGCGCTCACGTTGTTGACCAGCTACTCAACTTCCCATCCGAAGACTCACTACCCACCCACCCAGTTTCCAAAGTCATTGATGCGAGCGGGAAGCCCGATCCCCGATTTGCGCACCCTCGTCTTCGCGACCGATACCCGTCATACAAGAACACTAAAGTGTCCGTTCTCGACCTCCGAACAACACATAACCGATTTCCTGGAGCGGACTATCATGATGCAGATATCCTGAACACAGAGCAATTGTTAAAAGTGTTTAGGATAGTGAAACCAGATGTTATCATCGATACTGTCTCCCCACCGCCCCTGGAGGGGGAAAGGGAGATGTTGTATAATGTCAATGTCAACGGTACAAAGAACTTGGTAGAGGTCGCAGGCGGCGCCAAAGGAGACTGGGGCGGAAAATGCAAAGCTTTTGTCTATACTAGTTCCTCATCGGTGGTTCACGACACCCAAGGTGACTTGGTTAATGTCGATGAGAGATGGCCCAAAATCGTTGGCAAGCTCCAGCAAGAATATTACACTGAAACAAAGGTACGGATAATTTACGCTACCTGACAACTACTTTAATTAACATTGATTATCAGGCACTTGCGGAAGATTTCGTCCTAAAGTATAATGGTACCTCCCCCTCTGGCATGCTAACAGTTGCTATCCGACCTGCCGGTATTCACGGCGAGCGTGACACAACTCTTACGAAGAAGTTGGTTGAGCACGGCTCCAAGGCGTCGCCTCTCGTCCTATCCTTCCAGCTCGGCGACAACGATAACCTATTTGATTTTACTTATGTCGGCAACATTGCCTATGCGCACATGCTTGCTGCCGAGCTACTCCTTGCCACCATGAAACGGATTGAGACAAAAGCCATTCTTCCTCTTGACCACGAGCGTGTCGATGGCGAAGCATTTAACATTACCAACGACAGCCCGGTGTATTTCTGGGACATGGCCCGTTCCATATGGGCATTGATGGATCGTTATGTCGAACCTGAACAGGCTTGGGTCCTTCCAGAAGGAGCTCTTACCGTGATAGGAGGCATCCTAGAAACGGTGTTTGGATTATTTGGTAAAAAGCCACGACTTACACGACGGGAGGTTAGATACTCTTGTATGACGAGATACTTTTCATGTGACAAGGCGAAGAGAAGGCTTGGATACGTTCCTTATGTCCCTCTCGATGAGGGCGTTGCAAGATCTGTTGGCTTTATGCTGGAGCAAAACAAAAATATCGAGGCGAAGAAGCAGCTATAGGGTATATATGTATCGGGGACTGGGGTAACACAGTAGGGTACAGCGGACTGAATGGGGGGATAGCACATAAGTTTCAAAACGACTCCTTAACCAATATTCAAACTTATTAATTTGGTCTATCGTACATTGTTCTGTCATTACAACTATCCAAGAAGAGTTAGTCATGTAACAAAACGATCATGGCCTAAACGGAGAGGCATCAGTCGAAAGGCCAAAATTTTTCGAATTCTGCCTTTTCTTCGGGGGCTTTCACGAGCTCGGATGCCAACTCCTCTTTTATCTGGGCAAGTAATGGCTTCAGCTGCTGATAATCATCGTGTTCCGCCAGAGCTTTGTCAGGCCAAATACGCCCAAGTCGTTGTTGTATACTCTTCATGACCTCAGAGCTCAACGCAGATAGTTCTCTATCTGCGTTAATTTCAATTTCCTGCTCCGGTGAAAAGGAGAGTGGGAATTTTTGTTCCTCGTTGGCGTTGGACTTCAACCATTCTTTCTGCAGGTCTAGTGACAAAGCCCGGAATTGAGGCTCTCCCAGTTCATAGAGACGACGAGAAAGAAGAAGCAGGTATCCTTTTGTTGTATTCTCAAACATCATGGCAGCATACTGGCTAGGGTTTTTGTTCTTGACAAGCATACGCCAGGCTACCATGACAGACTTGTTTAGGTATTGCTTGATGGTGTCATTTTTCTCACTTTCGGATAGTTGTTTCATATTCTCTGGTAGCTCAGGGCGCTTCAAACTATCTCCAATGGGACTACCATCATACTCAAGGAATGCAGGATCCATGCAATGGTCAAATAATGGTGATATCTGAGTTGATTGCCAATCGATAATCCCGACTACCTCGGTAGGATTCTTCGGGCTGACAAAAATATTCTCGCTATGCAGATCATCATGCCATATGTGGCCGCTAGCCAAAGATGGGTCAGAGGGAAGAAGAATGCTAACAAGCTTGAGGTAACATTGAACTGCGTCAAGTCTCTTTTCTTGAGTAGGCCGGTAGAGTCCTGGTCCATAGAGCATGGCTAGTTGTTTCGGAGCACATATCCTAGATTCAATAGCTAGTTTTTCTCGGTGTCCAACTGCTATCCGATATTCAAGTAATGATTTCCCTTGATTACAAGCAATAATTATTATAAAGACCAATTTAGCGTCGTCTGGGAGAATGAAACACTCACATGGACCTCGGTCGCAAGTTAATGAACTTCGGCCATCATCAGACCACTCACGTCCTGTGGCTGGCCCTATGGCAAATCGGTCAAGCTCATTTATTTGAGTGCCTTCTTCGTCAGCCAGTGGCCTACGAATTGATTCCCCCAAGTCATCGCGATAATAGAGGCTCCCAAATGCATTGAATTTTTTCTGAGTCCATACTCTCTGGTAGTCGAATATTTGGAGAAATATCTTCATCTTGTCTGATGGATCTAGGGAAGGCCACACCTGTCCTAGCTGGACCCCATCAAACTTTTCCATGATGATGTATTCAGCCCCTACATTGTTTCCCTTATCTTTTCGAGAATTCCAGGAATACACTTTTGGAGTAGGCGTCTTCAGAACATTACGCATCTAGTGAAAGTTAGTGATAAAGTGTCATGGGAGAAAAAAAAAAAAACAAAAAAAAAAGGAAGGAGGTAACAATGGCAGCTGTGAGAAAGAAAAGTATTGGCATGTCTCACAAAGTCAAGTGTTGCTACCTCACTAGCAGTGGTATAGTGAGGTATACCGGCATTCGGGTTTGGAACTTTCCCAATGACTTGTTTGTCGTTGTCAAGAGTGAATATATACGCCTTGTTGAACATTCCATCGGCGCACTTTTCGACATTGATACAATACTTTGCACCAACTGCTTTCGCAGCTTCCTGTGCCAATTCGTTCATGTTGAACCGAACGTGCCGTTTGGAAAGCTGTTCCTTTTCATCAATGACAAAGCGTCCTCGGGTAAATTGGAAGAACTCATCATGTATATTCCAATCTGATTCCTCACGATAAGTTATCTCGTGTTCTCCCTGCTTGTACAAGATCCCGCGTACGTACCTTGGGATTGCCGTGGTATGGTGTGCATAGCTCTCGAATCAGAAGAATGGCATCTGGTAAATTGAGGTTTTCTAGCTGAACGGTGGGTTTTAGTAAAGCAAAGTAAGCGCCAAGGCAGCTTCATTTTGGCTGAATGGTGGTTGCTAAATGAATCATGGAATTATGTGGAACAAATGATGCTGGATGTCAGAGGCCCAATGGAAAGTACCTAAGCACGTGATTGATTGACTAGGTAACGGCTTAAGGTTCGGCCGGGGGAAGCTAACCGGTTTGAGCAAACTAATTAGTTACTGAGGTCCCGTGATCTCTTGTCGACGGGACCTGACCTACGGGAATCCGATTCGTCAACCGTATTGTATTATTAAGGGTGCTTGACTATTGCTGAAGGGGTTCATAGTAATAAATAAAGGGCAAGAAGAAGGTATAGTGTTATCTTTGCCGCAGGAGCTTGGAGTCCATGGATTTCCACGACACAATATAGACCGGTGACCTCAAAATACGGTAACTAGTTGATCACATGACCTAATTGAAGTCGGCAAGGCTTGAGTATTAAATAAGCCATTACCATCCCTATATGATTGGCGCGCGAGTTACCGAGCCCTCGTATAGACCCATAACTAACTGTCAAACTTCAGCTCTGCCTACCATTAGTGTGGGCTCACTCCTTTTGACACTAACCCATGGAGCGCTCAAGGCCCGGAGACGCCTGGAGCCTTCATCACTCCAAGGTTGTTTGCTGGGTCATCGCGGCATAATCGTAAGTTGGTCAAATTGAAATTAACTGATCAGTTACTAGTTACCTAGGTAACTGGTAGGTCAGTAGCTATTGGAGAGACAGTTCGACTGCGGACAGTAACTAACTGGGAAGGTTAATTCCCGTTGGGCAAGCGGAAAAAACCCGGCGTGGGCTTGGCAATCAGAGTCGGCCTGCCCTTTTGAGGATGAGCTGATTCAAATGATACCTAGCCAACAATTAACGACTGGCTGTTAAGGATCCAACCATCATATTCCTTGGTTTTATATCCGTGATAGGTTTATTTTCTTTGCTGGGGCTGTCAAGGCCAGAGCAGGGGTCTGGTGATACCCCGCTCCAAATAACCATACTCCGTAACTACCATGAGTTATATCTATTTCGAATACTTTGATATCAGTTAATTACTTTCCTATCTACTCCGTACAGACAACGGCACCCACGGGCGATTTGACATCAGGCTACCGCGATTCCGTAAGTTTCAAGGAACCAAATGAAGACTGCTGAGTACGAAGCTGATATTGTTCATATACGACAGTTTTTGAGCAAATCATAACTAATACACTTCTCATTAAACTTTGGGTTCATAATACCTCTGCCATCATGTCGTCTAGAATGATTGCTAGCGTTAACTCCATCAAGACTTGGGTTATGAGTTCAAAGGGCAGGATGGTCAAGATTGCAAAGGGGTCAGGAACTGCCGGTACCCGCGCAGCTCCCACGCAATCTGGAACCAATGACGAAAAGATGGGAGGGAGGCTCGACTTCGGCGAGAGATTCGAGAAGGACGGGAAAGTCTACTGCCGCTTTAATTTCCAACTGAACAAAAATGCCGAAAACAAAACTCTTCGCGATCTCGCTCGAGACAACACCCACAAAAAGTGGTCGTCTGCCGAAATTGAAATTAGCGAGAACCCCACCGAGGATGAAGCCAGAGAGAAAGCCACTCAGTTGTTTGACAGTATTATTTCGAACCTTCAAAAACCCTAGCTAAAGCACTCCCAGCCCCTCCCCATACACCTTTATGTGTCTCTACATGTCCGATGATGAGCGTCAAACATAGATGGTTGAAGATTACTAGTTAACTAGTTTTTGCGGAATTTCAGTTTGAATGCCCAGTTATACTTCCCCATATTCTGGTAAATCTACATAGTTGAATTGTTCGAGGCAGGTCTAGTTAAACTTCAGACGAACGGATAAGTAAAAAGCAGCGCCATTGGGCAGTAGTCTACATTTTTGGTTCCTTTAAATTTAATCATCTCGGAAGCCCAAGGGAACGTTACGTGACCCGAGCCTTATGCAAGACGCAACGGAGCAGCAAATTCTTCGACGTCTGGCTGATCACTGGGAAGACGATAAATAGGCATAGAATATATATGAATGATGACGGTCTGCAAGACAGGAGGCTATACTACGGTTATTTATTTATACAAGATAAGACCAATCGGCCGTCTGGTGCGTAAAGAAATGGAGCAGGAGGTGGGGGCGTATCACATAACTAACTAGTTAGTTAACTACTAGTTACTCGAGACGCTAACTAGTCAAATGCCGGCTCCAACATCGTCCAATACTTATGCGTGGGGCTCAATTAGTTATGCTTCTTGTTCCTAGGAAAACCATGAAATGTTTTGAAGCTAATATTGCTTCCGCGCTAACTAGAACGCTGACAGCTCTCGACATATTTCTGTTTTATTTTTAAGTTCCTTCTTCTGTATCTTTATATAAATTGGTTGCGCACCTATCGGCTACCACAGCATTTTACTATACTTAACTCGTTCAAGGAATAGACAGATGTGATTCAACATCGCTTCCCTGGCGTGTCAGCCACGCTCGGCACAGTATTTCTCGACTTCTTTTTTCAGTGTTTCTTTTTGTCTCAAAGCAACCTCCATGATGCTGTCACAAGTTCTCCCAAGGCCTCTATTGTCGGCTTCCAACGCTGCCGCGTACACCTGGATCATGCAGTCAAGGACTGCTTCCAGTTGGTTTGGCAGCCACGTTACAATTGGGCTGCCTCCTGTTGCGGTAGGATGGTCGGATCGTTTAAGGATATACTCCTTGACCAAGTTCCAGTGGCGCCAACGGAACTCACGCACCTGGTCAAGGATCTGGAGCCACAAGCCCCTAGATTCACGGAGAGCGTCTCTAACATCCTCAGATCCGGCAGTACCGACTCCATTGAGGGCAAATCCTTTGATATCCAATTCTCGTCCACGTTGTTTCACGAAATTGAGAAAATCTTTATGTTTGTCAGAACGGTATTCTGAGAACTCATCAAGGATCACTGTAAGAGGCGTATCAGGCATGGGAATCTGAAGGAAGTAGTCCATGAGTGGCACCATTGCATCGTTAGCGCCGGTCTCTCCACGGAAGAACATGGGCTTGTTGTCATTGCAGCCCTCATATACGACCCCGTCGGGAAACATGGAATTAGAAGTGATTCCAAACATGAAGGTCCTAAAATTGTTATACTCTGCTGGTTTTGATTTCTGGTATATTATCTTCATAAGGGAGTTCAACTTTGCCAAGGCATCAACAAGTGTTGAGAGGCCTTCATTGAGCAGCTTCCTCTGTTCGATGGTACCGCCGCAAGTGGCTCCATGTGATGCAGCTTCAAACGCCTTCAGGACGCCTTGGACAAGGGGCCCTGAGTGTTTCACCATAGTGAGATGCACCAGGATAAATCCCGATTCAGATGATGCCGGGTCAAGGCCATGCTCAAAAGCTCGGATGAGGCGCAGGTTGGAGAACTCAAGGCCGGCTGCGGGGTTCTCTAAGCGGTAATTGAGCAGTACGTATGAGCTGAACTCGAGATACGGCTTAAAGCCAGCTCTTCGTTTCTGTTAGCTCCCATTGCTATTTGCCCAGCTGGAGACGGTGGGAACGGAACTCACATTTCTGCACATCTAACAAATGGCCGCGAGATCTGTTTGGGCAAAAAGGGCCGCCCAATCCCGTATTCACTACTTTCCATAAAACGTTTATGGCATGGCTCTAGGAGGTAGCCCTCAGCGAGAAAGGAGTAATCTCGATACAAGGCGGTTATTACATGAAGATTATCCCTGTATAGATCTACTTGAGCAGTGAGATCAGGTAACTCCTTATCAACCACATCACCAAGCTTGCCATCTGCTAGGAGGCCCGGTTCGCCCGAGGCAGTCTTTATTGGCATACGCTGCAACAGTGATTCTAAGGCATTGAACTCCTTCGGCAGGGTAACCAGCGGGTTTCTCAAGGGTAAAAAGCCTCGAGAGGTAGAGACTAGGAATGGATGAAGAGAGACATCCTCCAAACGAGCATCATCAATGATGACCTCACATTGGGCAGAACCGGCGGGCTTCATTTCAAAGATGGGTGGGTGGTGGTGGTTTGTTAGAAAGGACACATTAATACCAGTTTGAGGCAAGGTACCTACATACGAAAAGGAAGTTGAAAAGTTGTCTTATAAATCTACCTTCGAATGCCTCTTCATTCCGGTCGAGCTACGTGGCTTTGCATGGATTCTCTTCTTACCCCTTGGTTTCCCATAGGCCTGAAAAGCATGCCACTGCATTCATTGCTTCGATGAGGCCAAAACTTATCTGATCTGCCTCCTCATTACCGTCCAAATACCCGGCCCCACATTCTAATTTTGGTATCACACTTTATTTATGCGTTGACAACGGAAAATAATATCTGTCATCACGTACTCCGTATTCAGTTGGTACTTCAACGGCAAAAGCATCTTGCATATGATTTCCCTCGAGTCAAGGTATACCAGATCTAGCGAAACCAATGCATTTCGATATGCAGAGCACAGTGTTTTCTCAATTCTGATAACCTACTGGGCCACGGGAGGAGCAGTGAAGATCATTTTTTGACCTCAATGCGTGTGAATTATAAAATGAACTGCCAGCGCAAATTTCAGTCAACTTCAATGTCTGACGAAACATCATAAAAAAAAAAGTGAGGCATGGATAGTTGCGGCTTGCATCCTTGCTAAAAATGTCGAAGAGTCGCTTGAATGGGCTCCTGCTTATGTGACCTCCAGCTGCATTAACGACTATGCTGGCATTACTCGGTTGCGAAGATCTGTCGGACAAGTTTCCTTTCTGACCGGTCCAGTTTGGAATTCTACATCCTGGCCCCTCTTGTTTCCCCTCTTGATGTACCTTGAACATGGACCACCATATCGCCATTTCGCGATGTTATCGGTGTATACGTCAAGACCAAGACAAGGATTTTATTTTACTTCATTCATTTCGAACATTTGACTAAAATCTAAGCACCCAAGTACCCCACGGGTATAGAAACAAGTAATTTTGTGGATGTGCCCCCTTCGTGATTGAAGTATCCGCTAAAAGATTTCGCATAGCAATTGCCGGACAGTTTCTTCGGACAAGGTTTGTAGTCTGGGTGCTTCATATCTTTTGACTGCAATATAGTGCCGAAGAATCCGGCTTTCCATGAACTCCTGGAGGCTGTCGCAAGACTTTTCTAGTTGCTCTAGTGACCCGGCTACGCTCTTGGGAAAGGGTTCGACTCCGCTTGTTGGGAAATGTTCGGTAATAAGTCCAGTATCGGGCCATACCAAAGGCTCCTCATTGATGCACCCTATTGTACCGGCACTAATGACTGCAGCTAAAGCGACATACATGTTGGCTGTAGCATCAACGCATCGCAGCTCCCAGTGACCAGACTTTATCTGGCGGACAGGTACTGCTCGGTTCTCAGATCCCCATGCAACTATATGGCCGGCGAGGTATGGCTGGACACGCTCATATGATAGGTCGTACGGCAGGAAGAATGCACAGAGCCCGGGGAGTCTGCGGAGGATACCGGCCAAAAACGAGGTCTCCTTGTTTGGGGGGTTGAGCGAGATATGGGTGTGTTGTCCCGCGACTTGTTTGTGCGACGCCACTGGCCGGGGTGCCATCGTTGCTATTAAGCCATGTCGGGCAAAAACAGACTTCAGAGTATCGTGGACAAAGATAAGCTCATCGATAGCTCGAAGAGGAGACTGAGGTTCGAGGGCAATCTCATACTGGCCACGGTCCCCTTCAGTCTGAAATGCCCCAACACCAACCCCGGCCTTAATCAGGATGTGCACAACTTCCTGAATATGGGCCACACAAGGGTCACGGAGGCCTGAAATAGCGCAACGACCTAGTCCGGAACTATGAGGGCCTATTTTGCCGTCGGCGGCAGCTTTCATAACTTGGAACTCCACCTCAAAGCCGACGAGGAAATGCACGTGGAGTAGCTTCTCGGCCTTCTCAACGACGGTCTTCAAAGCCTTGCGGGGGCAGTAGTTCCAGTTTAATTCCGGTCTGATAGGAAGATGCTCAACGACACCGCACATTACGGTGGCATAACTAGGGTCCACCCCCAGTTGCTGAGATGCGGGATACAGGGAGTCCCAGTCTGGGATCAACCAGTGATATCCTCTTGGGTCCATCTCGGGGATGTTCTCGTGGCTCACGGTCAGATGGAATGCACAAGCCGGAACATGTAATCTCCTCTTTTCAGCTGCGATGGCTTGTGCTTGCTCCATGGGGACAATGCGGGCTCGCACAACACCCGAATAATCCTGCCACTGGCAGCGCAGGAAGCAGATGCTGGGGTAAAGTGTAAGGAGAGCGTGGAGAGCGTTCGACCCTCCAGTACCAGCCATTGAGTTGGCTTTGGCATCATCAACCTTGGCTCTATTCGCGTGGGGAGCCATGGTGCAAGCTAGCCTATCGAGTACGGACTGCACGGGAATGACGGCAGATCAAAGTGGCGATGGTATCGATGGTAGCTGTGTGTCTGCTGTAGAGTGATGCAGTGTTTGCTATACATGTGTAAGATTGAACCTTTTCAATATATAGTGTCGGAGTGCGAGATAAGGCGGAAGACACGATATATCTGAATGCAAGGGTGAGGGGTTCGAACGCGAGCGTCTGCATCCGTTCTTGCGGAGGTAACTTTGGAGAAAATCTCAGCCAGGGTGCTTGAGAGTGGGGGTTGACTGCATGCCTGGGCAAAGGCAGTATGAACAGGAGATTGGAGAAGTATCCCTGCACTGGCAGCGCTGCATCTCTCATTATCTCTAGAATTCGGAATGTTTCCAGGGCATACATATTCTCGCTTCCTCGGGACAAATGTCGTTTCTCTGAAGCCAGGAATAGCTATGTGACCCTCTTCAAAGGTGCACCGTGCTGTCATCTGTGCTATGTATAGTTCAACAAACCACTGCAGCAATGAGCCAGTCTGTTATCAAGCCCTTGTGGAACAGGGAGGATATTGCAGGAAAGGAAAGATAGTTTCTGCAACCCTTGAAAACACTCGAGAAAACGCATGAACTCTGACAGTACGGAGTACCGATGATCTCGGTAGTTAAGTCGTTCAATGTATATCAGCCAGCCATTGTTGAACCTATTACCCGATCAATACTGATATCAAAATGGTATGCAGTCAGATGGAGAACGCTTCGCAGAGTTAGCAAGACAACAATGCCTCCACGCTGACGAACAGGATGCCCTCAGCCAGCCACCAACGTCTCGAAAACGCAAAGCGACGGGTAGCAGACACATGCAACGCCCCCCCTGGCAGTCTGAATTCTAATCAACCCAATCGGCGGAAGTGAATCTGCTTCCCCAACTGGCTTTTGTGGCTCCATTTGTCACTCCAGCAGGTTTCATACGTAGTTCAGTTATGAACACCACGAAATAGCTAGGGCCGTGATGGTTGGTATTCGAACCGCCAAGGTCAAGGGGATGAAGCTATCCGTAGTACCTCTAGGAGAGCCGGGTGGAACATATCAGTATCAGGCCGGCTATAAAAGAATTAGACCACTCTATAGATAACCCGATAGCTAACAGTCCACTAGTTGGTAGAGAGAAAATCAAGTACCTCCTAGATTTCGCCATATTCTCTTCAAATATCGTCATATACAATTCCTTTTGAAAAAATTTTCGGCTCTCCCATTGTCCAAGAAGGAGGACAAAGAATAAATCGGCGTAACACCCCGGAAGATGCCACCAGTGGCTGATTTGACCGTTGATAACAGCGCCGAAGCTGTGGCGAAGGCCAAATGGGAGCGTCATACATCGATAAACGCGAAGACGGCGCCACACAGCCTGTTTCGTGAGGACAGATGGTTCACCGGAAAGGCGCCACAGCCAGGGATCTGTCCCGGAGTAAATGAGGCTGGAGTAATCTCAAAACTCCCGCTGCCCAACTTGGCGACAACTGGCCGAGCTGAGATGCAGCAGTATTTTGATAATACATGGACTTTATATGAAACGCTGTTCGCCGGCCTGCGTACGAGGTCAGCCTTCTATCGCCAGCCGGACCATAAGTTGCGCCATCCGCTCATCTTCTACTACGGTCATACCGCCGCCGTATACATCAACAAGCTAAGAGTTGCTGGACTGGTCGACAGCCCCGTCAACACCCACTTCGAAGCCCTGCTGGAGGTTGGCGTGGACGAGAACTCCTGGGATGACCTGTCGACCGACGAGACCGAGTGGCCGGAGCTCGATGAAGTACACGCCTACAGGGCCAAGGTGTACACCGTTGTTAGTGATGTTATCGCCAACACTGAGTTTGGTGCTGAAATGGGGCGACCCGTCAATATGAATGACAAAGCCTGGGCAATTGTCCTGGCTCTTGAACACGATGGAATCCACCTGGATACTAGCTCAGTGCTCATTCGAGAGTCTCCTGTCGATCTGCTCTCTCGACATCCAGCTTGGCCTGCACCATCGACTTCTGCTCGTACTTCCCAGGAGGAGAGGTTGGTGCCAGATAACGACATGGTCAGCGTTCCCGCTGGTGAGGTTGTTATGGGGAAGCCAAACGATTTCCCTTCATTCGGATGGGACAACGAGTACGGTCATAAGCGTGTCCAGGTGAGCGCCTTCGAAGCAAGCAGATATCTGATTAGCAACGGAGAGTTCTACGACTTTGTTGCCGATGGTGGCTACCGCGAGCAGTTGTACTGGTCCGAGAGTGGATGGGGACAGCGACGTCTGAATAACACTAAACACCCGCGCTTTTGGGTTCGGGACGGCCCGGCCGGGCTCCACACTTATCGCCTGCGCACGATCTTTGATGAAGTGACGATGCCCTGGGACTGGCCAGTCTGTGTCAACTACCATGAAGCCAAAGCATACTGCACCTGGCGTAGCAAGCGCAGTGGCCGATCATACAGGCTCATCTCTGAAGTCGAGCATCACCGCATGCGAGACCCCTTGCCAGAGAAACCAGGTCCTCAGGACGACCCTGTTATGTGCATGGACGGTCACGCACTTGCACAAAAGGGCGTCAATCTTAATCTGGCCTTTGGATCTGAGACTCCAACGGATGCCTCCCCGCCCACAGCAATGGGGTTCGGAGATGTCTTTGGTAACGTCTGGCAGTGGTGCGAAGACGCCTTTGCCCCACTGCCTGGATTTGCCGTTCACCCTTACTACGAGGATTTCAGCACCCCCTTTTATGGGGGTGAGCATCAACTGCTTCTTGGTGGTGCTTTTGCCGCTACGGGCGATGAGGCCAGTATCTGGGGTAGGATCCCTTTTAGACCTCACTTCCTACAGCACTCTGGTATCAGACTTGCTCTCTCTGCAGGAAGCAAGATTGAAAAGCCAAAAGCCATCAAGCAAGATGAAGCTGTCGCTGAAGTTGACGTTGATGCCAATACCCGCCGCGAGCTGAACCAACGCATGCTCTTGCATTATGGCTCTATGGCTGAGACACTTGGTCCTGCAGTGTTAGACACCGCCGGACTAAGTCTATGCCATAACTATGTGCACCGTGTAGTTGAGCTCCTCGTGGATACAGCGCGCGCCCAAGGCCTACAACTTCAGTCTGCGCTTGATGTAAGATGCGCTGTTGGTGGTACGACTTTTGGGCTAAGCAAGTACTTCAACACCGTGGTTGGAGTTGACTCGAACCAGGCCTTCATTACCGCAGCAAATACCATGGCCCGGTCAGGAAGCAGGATGTATGAGCGACGTGACAATGGCGGACGTATGACAAACTTGTGTGCCCGACTAGATACAGCAGCACACCCTGAGAGAGTCACTTTCCAGACAGCCGACGTTTGTTCTCTTCCGCCCGAGCTTACCGGCTTCGATGCGGTGTTGTTGGCTGACGCTTCACCAAGCCCCTTGTCTGACCCAGATGCTTTCATAGAGCGTATGGCAGGACCACATTCCATAGTCCGGCCCGGAGGATTAGTACTTCTTTCAGATGAGATTTTGAATAGCCCAACATTGTCCGAGTCACACACACACAGCTCCTCTAATGGTAAGAAATTACCGGCCGAGTACGAGCTGCTTCGTGTCTGTGATCTTTCAATACTACTTCGAGAAAATGACCGTCATTTCCAGCACATTATACCTCGAATTAGCATTTGGCAACGCAGCATGACAGCAGCGATCTAGAATTTATATCTAGCATCTGCATCAAATTCATCGGAGATATGCTTATCGTTGCTTCATTCATTTATACTTCATTTTGTCTTTGTTTAGGTATTTCTTACTTTCTATCGAGTAATAAGTTAAGTGCTATATATTGGATAAATATAAAATTTACTCTGTTGTCAATATTTAGAAAAAGGGTTACTCCTTGGGCGTGGTTGTTAATTACCACGCACCAAGCATTTTTGTATCATATAACCAGTTTAAGCGTAACTACCAAAAACACAACACCAGAGTACACATCCCAAGTCTTTGATAAAAACCTAGTCAATATATGTTCCAGAAGGAGGCTATTTCGATTAAGCCCTACGCCTCCTAGCATGCGTAAGTAGAGACATTCCCAGTGCCTCTAAGAGACTTTTCACTTCTTTTCATAATTGATGATTGTCTCTATGGACGGCTTGGCCGTTAACTTGTTGCCTTGCTCAAAGCTAAGCGTGCATATAAATCAAGGGTAGATACCTAATATAGCTCAGATTGATGGTTGGAATATTATTAAAATAGGGAGTTTTATTCTCGAATGGTTAAATGACATTCCCCAATTGATTGTTAAAACACAAGACTGTAAAAATGCAAAAGAAGACAATGTAGTATAAGTATATTCACAACAAGTGACATCGACTCATTCCTATCAAAAAAGGAGGTTGCAAAACGTAGAGCTATCTGGAACTTACTAGATGTATATCCCAAACATTTCAGATGGCTTAACAGAGTGTCTGTGATCTAACCAAAGTGCACTATCAAAGACACCTTGCGCCAATTATCTGTTGGTTTTCAATTGGGACTACAATAGCTACATTGGTATTTCTCCACTCCTCTTAGCAAATAAAGCTCCAAAATTGCGTTGGTTAGCTCAGAGGTAAAAGGCAGGCATACAGTTGATATAATAAATGAGCACGACATAACATGACCTTAAAGGTAATCACTCACAAATCCAGCCAGGGGTATCTAAGACAATAATCAATATGTTACACAGACTTCGAAATACTTCCGTTTCGGATAAAGAGACTGTATCAACCCCTCCTAAGCTCCTTAACACGCTTGGGCACGTATTTATTTCTGCGATTTCTCTCTTTCAAGAAACGGTTTAAGAGTTTTGCAATCGGTTTGATGTTTGGGTATTTGCTAGTTTCGCCTATAGGCGTGCTTAAAGCCCAACGAGCAAGTAAGTCGAGTTTGGATCGTTCAAAGGTGTCGAAGTTAATGAACGGAGTACAGTTGAAACAAAGGGTTCCGTTTTCAAAGTATACTTCATTCATACGAACTTGTCGGTTGAAGCAAGAAACCATGAGAATCTATAGTGTAACTGGTTAGCCTAGAGCTGTATGTAAGAAGACGGTAGTGTACGAGTGCGTGACATACCGGGTATAAATCATTGGTAACATACAATGGGCACTTCAATCTTTCCCTCATAAGGTCGGCGGCAAGGAGTATTTCACTACGGGTAATCTTCAGGTTTGCATCTTCATCAGGGTATAAACCATGGAGCGAGTGAGATATAACATGGGGTTGGAGATGAGTACCCCGTACATGTCTATCGAAAGCTTCTTCATAACGCCAGTCGGTCGGTTCGTGTCCCGGTCCCGTACTGCCCCAATTTCCGCCATAGAGTGTGCGTTCAAGGCTAATGGGCAAACGGAAAATATTAATAACCATATTGAATACAATAAAAGGATAATCAGTCACTCACAATGCAAAATCCCATTCCGCATAGTCAGCCAGTACCCGGTGACATCCCCACTTGTCCGTTGGAGTATTTGGGATTTCCCCTCCTATGAAGCCTTTCAGCTTACGCTGAATATGGGTTGCATCATGTATTTCATCATAAGTAGAGTCCGACGGATCCCATTCATCCTCTTCATAGTATTCTTCAAGTCGAGGCAAACTCTCAAAAACCGATTGTGACATCGGCTTAAAAAACCGCCCACCTTGCTCTAGATCCATCGTCTCCTTGCGTATACCATATTTAAGCAATTTGTCCTCCGGTAAGTAGATGTGTTCCTGATTGAGGGCCGGTTTGAGGACCTTGATGATGGTATGGAGTTTGGTCGAGACCTGGTTTTTATGGCCAAGCAGCGTGTCTAAAATCTCAGCGTTCAGCTCTGTGTGGTTCTCCATGGTAGTTCGCTTGTAAGCTGTATGTTCTGATCCGACAACGATATTGTTGATGGCAAGCTCGCAAACACTTGCACGCGTTGTAAACAGGCAGCACTGGTGAGATCGGGTAGGGGACTCAGGATAATAGATAATCCGGAAACTGTCCCAAAATTGGAAGGCTCATTGGGTTGGTTGGTAGCTTACTCATCATTCCAAGCCGAATTAAGCGCCGAGCCTCAAAACCTTGAGGCAAACGTGTTGCAACGCCTGGTCTAAGTTTAGGATACAGCCCAGAAATGCTATTTCTAGTATCTCCACTCCCAACAAATAATATATATTTTAGTGGCCAGAATGGAACTTGCTATGCATGAAGTTGTCAAGTTCTCTATTTATATCATTCTACAGGTGTTGAGCGCTTACATCTGAATCGAATGAACTACACTAATTGGCTATATGGTTATTGACCATTAGCGCCATGCCACCAATGCTCCACAACAAAGCACATTCACTGTTGGTTTGCAGTGAGCTATGCGCCCCTCTCCTAGCTCTCCAATGAGAGCCAAACCTGACCTCCCCATCTCTGTCATGGGGCAACGCATACGAATTCCTGGTCAAGGATAAGGGCGCGTAAGTCCCTTAAAATAGACACGCAATATATCCAGTGAATAATATTTAAAGAGCAGTATATTGCTTTGAAGAGACGTTTATTTTACTATCCAACTTTCTCCTTCCATATTTCTGAGCTATTGATCTTCTCACCAGATCTGTGTCAAATATTAAACCTGCCGACCACTTGTGTGGGCTCACTCTTCCGCCCAGCCCCAAACCGAGAGTTAGTATACCATGGCAAGTGAGATAGTTAAGTTTGCTGTGGATAGGCCGACATGGACCAAAATGGTGAAAGATAATAAACTTGGAGAAGCCAATATCTATTCCACGCCCTGCGAATCTGGATCAAAAGTCAATATATCGCAATACCTCCTTCTTCGAAGTGTCTGGTTCCAACACCCTAAGAGCAAAACAAAAGACCTCGAGAAATGGGGAATTAAGGAGTTCAAACAAGCGGACAAATGGCTCGAGAATAATAAGGACTGGTTGATATATCTCGAAAACCTTTCGCAAATTACCAACTACACTGGTCCCCCTCACAGTCTCGGAACATTTTCATATGTTTGGTTTGCCCATCACCAGGTAATCAGCCTGCCAGAGCAATATGAACAAGTGGAAGACCAGGACAAAAATGTTTCGTATAGCCCAATATCCAGCCGACTCCGATCTGCAGCCCACAAGACCAACATGCACGGCAGAGAGGAATCACCAACTCCATTGGGGAAAAAGGGATACCAGACACCCCCTGATCAGATCACGGGATATGGAGGATATTCTCCTTCGGAGGAGTTAGCTGAGGGTATCCGCAATATGACGGTTCATGAAAACTCCAGAAAAAGCCCATCAGATATTTCAAACAGTGATGCCACTATGAGTCCTGCCTCAGCGCGCAGAGCATTCCCAAAGGTGGAGGATGAACAAATCGTCAACGGCTATCTCATCGCGGTCCTAGCCTCCATTTGCATGTACCATCCCGATGTTAGTCTCCACTGGTCACCAGTTCGAAAGTCATTTCGATTTGGGAAGAGAGATGTAGAACCAAACAGCGGGGATAGGCCATATCTCTTCGAAGCTAGAACAGACGGACATCTCGCTTCGCGAAATCCAGGGCCCAATGATGCAAAACCATCTGCGGTTATTGTGGAAGTTAAACCCACCAACAGACGATACAACAACAGGGTCATTTACCAGGCAACTTCCCAGATGGTATCTTGGATATATCAGGAGCCAGATGCACCAGGCGCCAAAAAGCAGTACTGGTAAGTGATGCCTATTTAACCCCAGTGCATATATGGCTAACCTAACATTTATGACTACTTAGTCGACCTATGATAATTCAAGAACGGGAACAAATAAGACTTATCATTGCAACTTATGACCAAGAATACATCGATTACTTAAATAACAAGCCATCCAGTGGATCGGAAATCCCATTAATGACAATGAACGAGCTATTTACATGGGACATCACGAAACAGCATCACATGGAAATATGTGGCCCTGTTCTCTTAGCTCTTGCGCTGCAAAATGGTAAATTAGAGAACTGATCTCTCAATTGCCTACCAACGTACGGGGGTCCTACAAGATGAGGCAATGGTACATGCGAATGAAGATTAGGCGGCGAAAGAGGGGGTTAGTTGATGTATAGATGGAAAGTCGTGGGGTCCTATGAGCCTCGTTGATTATAGTTTGTTTATTTGTTTTGGGCTTCGTTGTTTCTTTTCCATATATTTTGTCAGGTTTATTTTGATCCTTATTCTATTAAATTAAAGGCGTTGGTTGGCTCTTGCTCTCACAGTTCCAGGCATATATTTGGATCTTCACTTGACATGTTTGATCACTGTCTATGGATTAGGGAAAGAAAGATGAAGGTCAAAGTAAAAGATTAAAACTTATCATAACCTCGTTTATCAGTAGTCTGAGAATGTAATATGTAACTGTGAGTGGTAATAGATTTATCACAAGTAGTTAAGTTGACAATCTCAGGAATAAACCAGGTGGGTAAGAGAAAAAGAAAAAGGACAGACGCCGAAAGAACGCCATTAACACAGCCGGATGACAATGTTGTTGAGGTCACGAAAGATATTTAGTAAAGGTAACCTTGGCCTAAAGAACCGAAAGTGAGGCCGCCGGGGTATTGAGGGCCATATTAAAAGGGGTTTAGAGTGCAGTAAATGTAAAAATCATTCACTATGCAGTAATTTAGTTTTGGCTACATGTTGGGGAATCGAGGAGAGGAAGACTTACTCTATGCTGCGCTGGACCGAGCGTCTTAGCATGCGATTGTATTTTTTCTTGTCTTCTGCGGAGCCCCAGAAGAGCTTGGAGCATTCAGGGTTGACAGTTGCTCGCGGGTCATAAGGGGGAGACTCATCCTCCAATGCCTCAACAATGGCTTCAATGTGTGCCTTCATATCCTCCAGTTTCTTCGGGAAATAGCAGAGAATGCCATCTTTTGAGATACGATGGTGGAATAGAGGGGTTTGAACAATCACCCGAGGCTGCTCATCTGGGAAATTAGGACTGAGGGCGATCTTAATTCTAAAGATACCACCATCAAGATGGGTCATGGGCCGCCCAAAGTAAGTCAACATCCAGACAAGAGGATTTCCCTCATCAAGGGATATATCGATAGTGAAATGTCGTTTATTTTTTAGGTCCTCGACAATTTGTTCATACTGCCGTTGCAGGTTGACAGCAATTCTTGTTTCGTTCTTTATAGCTTTCCGACCCATCTCTGCCCAAGAATCTGTTTCTTTCATGATGGCGTTCTTGATTGCATCTAGTCTCTTGGTCAGCTCGGTATAGTTGAAATGTCCGTCCATTGTATTGCCGGTGAATTCGAACTGCATTCTCTGGAAGCGTGAGCCAACAGGGCACTTTGTCTCAGCCTCAGCCATTGTGTTCTTATAAGTCTCATAGTACCAGAGAAAGCGACGTTTGCATAGATCTTTAAACGGCTCAAACGGGGGCTGGGAATATTCATCCCCAAACATTTCCTCGTCCTCTGTAATTTCATCAGTAGGCGGCATAATTGTACCATCAGGCAGGATGCCAAGCCAATCCTCCAGGCGCTGAATCACCGATATCCTGATATTCTCATGTCGGATCTGGAGGCTGTCAGAATCATGGAGTAACAGATATGATTAAAAGAGTGGTATAACCTTGGCAATATAATTATCCATTGCTTTGAGATCAGTGGGAGATTTGGAGTTTTCGAATCCGGGTTCGTTTTCATATGGGTTTGCAGACATCAAGCTCTGAATGGAGATCAAGATGGACTCTAGGCCCTGAGCTGACGACCACTGCTCCCCACTGCTTCCCTCCCATGTCCTGAGAACATTGTTAGTATACATATACTCCTTTATAAGAGAATCGATTAAAACTTACCCTAGAATAGACCTATATCAAAGTAGTGTGTCAGAAATTATCCATCTCATTTGACTTGCAGTATCAGAACTTACACGCAAACCTTGCCTGAGGCATAAATATTGGGGTTGAAACGGCATCTTCCGCCGTTGGTAGTCATAGCCTGAACATGTGGAGGTTGGGCAGGATAGTCTGGTTAAATTATGGAATATGAGCATCTGCTTAAATTAGGCGTCTCATGGGTATATTTGAAAAACATCCTGACCTTCAGTAAACTTGATAGAGAACTGTTGAACGCGGTTAGCAAGAACCACAGTCCTGGAAGAAATGACTACAAGCATACCTCGAAGAAGCCAAATTCATAGGGAGTTCCAGGCGGCCCAACTATGAGAGCCTTGACGTTACGAATGTCTGCTTCCTGGCAAGCCACGGCAAGTGCTAAGATAGAATCCCTATGAGTAACTGGCAAAAGGAAAATGGGGGCCCTTAGAAGACCTGGGGTCCTTGACTTACAGAGGTCAGCTCCCTGCTGGATCTGACTGATCTCCTATATATTCCGCCGAAACATCAGCGACTCGTCTCGTCCTGGGCCTTCCAGGCTACCAAGGTAGAGAGACTTACCCTTCCGATACGAAGAAGCGCCTGGTTCGACATGGTTGCTCAAATCGCTGGCGACTATCAAGCTGTAGCGTGTTGTGTCTCTTTTTCTCTCTGTCTGCTCCTCTTTATATGAATTACCAGATTCGCCAACTCAGCAGGTCTGATGAAACATCCAAGCTCCTCCAGAGATCATTACAGGCTTATGACAGGGAAAGCTATCATATAGGACCAGGAGCTGAGCTGAGAAGACGCTGTTCTGGGGTGAGAGGACAAGCCCAGCTAAGATGAGGTTGGCCTGGAGCTGTTGTTGCTGTTAAGGCGCAGGAGGAAACTGCAGAAAAAGTTCAGCTTCAGCCTGCTCGCACAAATCAGGGCCACCACCACAAACAAACGGAGGCGATAACGAGACTGTAGGCGAGAGCAGAGCAAACAGAGCAAAAGGGACAAAAGGGCCTCGGATACGAAGCGCCACGAGAGTCGAGGGAGTCTGCGTATCGGCCTGACTCGCGCAGCAGCCGACGAGAGGGACGAAGCTCAGCGTTTTATACACGGTTCGTTCCCCTTGACGGGCTGGATACTGCTCTCTAACACGGCTCTCGTACAGGTACAGGTGGATACATACAAGCTCGTTAGCTATATTGCGGCAGTGGCAGCAGCAGCAGCATCAGGCGATCAGGATTTCTAAGGGGCCAGCTGGTGGACCGGGAGGAGCAGACGAAGCAGACGCGGAGACAAAAACATCCATACAGCGGCTTTGCTCCCTGGAGTCGCAGCTTGCTTGGATCCTTAACTAGCGTCCCCGCCCATTCAGGTTTAGTGTACAAGGGAGTGTGGTTCAATTATGACAGATACTATTTGATTAAACGGCTGTCTACTCCGGGTTCCTCTCCGCGGTCTGGCTGCTTGCCATGGTTACAATCTACGGGATGTGGTCGACAGCAAGCATCGACATCACCATCAGCAGCCATCACGAGAAAGCTTCCCGCCAGATGAACTCGGCGACCCCATACTTTAGCTATATTCCACGATGTTAGCGGAAGTTTGCTTTATCGATAAGGCCCGGGTTGCATGAAATCTGGTCGATGTTGATGCGATGCAAGATGCAAGATGCAGCATGATGTGATAGAAGAGAGAGGCCAGAGAGCCATGTCTTCTCCTCTTTCCAGGCTTCCGCTGCTTCTTCTTCTTCTTCTTCTTCTTCTCCATAAGGAGGGGGGGAAACTCCCTGCAGAAGCATGATAAATCGTGCCTGCAGCCTATCTACCTCCTCTTTTGCCTGCCGTCCGCTCCTTGCAAGGGCTGAAAGTCTTGCCTCTGACTGCGCCGCAATGCACGAATTGAGCCTCACGCTCCTCCGTGATGCGCCCTCCAGAGTTGCTGGGATTATCCTGGTGCGGATGTTAAAGATGCATGAGATGCCTCGACTTCTCTTGGGCATTCCTGTTACTCGGTTTTTTGGAGCACTCCCTGCCAATCGTCGTGGCCCCTTTTGCCTGCCCATGAAACGCTCTCCCTACGCCTGCCTCACTGGCTCTCCAGCGTACTCTGTAGAAACTAAACCTCTCCTTCGCCTTAGCAGAGTTCTATTATTAATCTGGCAATCGAGGGGGATGTGCAAAGAAATATCATGCAAACAGACGTCGCCGTCAATATATTGATGTCGAAATGTTTATGGGGTATTTTATGGTGTAATATTCAATACGATAACGTGTCACGTTCTCCACCAATCGTCGTGTAATCGTGTAATGGCGTTACAATACTTACGATATCGACTTCCTCCGTCAGAAAGACGAAGAATCGCAACAAGAGCAAAAGCCGACAAGACGACGCGAAGAGCAGACAGCAGCTGACAGAGGGGCGACAGAGTCCCGGGATCGACGATTATACTTGGGCGGAGCTATAGCAGGGAAATAGTAACCATAATGGGAGCAGACTGAACGCAATGTGAGTTGGCCTTCGTATGCAGACAGCTCAACAGATGAAGCTGCGGCGCATCCGCATGGACTAACTGCTGGCACCAGGGTTGTCTATTCCCTCGTCATCATCAACAAGGCTGGAGGCCTGATCTACCAGCGGGACTTTCAGGCTGGCCTCCAGAAACTCTCGACAAACGACTATCTCGTCTTCGCAGGCACCTTTCATGGGTACGCAAACGACCTACCCCAACAGCAGCAGCAGCAGCAGCATGCTCCAATATCCGGATTTCCAAGCTGACCAGTATCGATTGATCTGATTGCTGATATAAACAGCGTCCATGCCATCACCCGCTCCCTTACGCCTGTGTTCCCTTACTCCGCCCCCGCTACGTCCAATACCTCAGCATCCACGATACCCATGACCTCCACACTACCTAATCCCGGCCTTCCAAAGACAGGCCTAGAAGTCCTCGAGACGGAACGATTTAGATTGACGTGTTTTCAAACTGTGACAGGGACCAAGTTCTTGCTCTTCACTGATCCGCTTATGCCGAATGTGGACAGTGTGATTGCCAAGATATACGAGCTGTATGCAGACTACGTGATGAAGAATCCCTTCTATCAGCTGGAGATGCCGGTGAGATGCGAGTCATTTGACAGGCATCTAGCGACGTGGCTAAGGGGAAGATAGCATCTAAAGTTTTGAGGGAGGAAGACTGTGAACATAGACTCTACGCAACAGATCTCCTTTTTTTTTAAAAAAAAAAAGATACGACTTAATGAATAATCCAGGGATATTGATAATGGAGCTTTTCAGATGATATATGTATGTACTGGCATGTATATGTCTGGGGGTACTGTCACTTCCGAGGCCAATCTCAAGTAGAATACATTGATCTACGAACGCCAGGAATGCCATCGAGCGTCACTAGTCTAGAATAATCCACGCTGCCCATATATCTCTTCCCATCATAACGCTACTTCAATCGACATGCCGTCACGACGTATCCATCTTATCTCCGTCACCTTCTTTCTTATCACTATCTTTCTTCCCGCTTCCGCTGCCACTGGCCTCCCCGCCCTCTTCCGGTATCTTATCCATAGATTCCTTGGCCTGTTTTTCCTTCTCCTGCTTCTCCTTCTCTAATCTTGCTTTTTCTTCCTCCAAAGACATGCGTAGAGCAAATGCCAGCTCAGGATCGGCAGAGGGGTCAATTCCAAAGTCAAATGAGCCGCCACCAACATCCTCTCCTCCCTCCATATGCGATGCCATACCGCGTCCTCCAAGGATTGGGGTTGGAAGAATCGAGTCACTGAGGAGATTAGGGCCGGGAGGTATGATGACAAGATTTGATCCGTTTCCGCTGTTGACAGCCTCGTGGAAGGCTTCTAGTTTCTTCGTTGTCTCTGAATCAAGCTCGCCAAAAGCAATAAAGTCAATGCTAACATTGTTCTTCTTCATCTTCAACGCTAGCTTGACAAACGACTTTTCGTCTTCAACAACCGGGGAGCAGGAGAAGACGATAATCCGCTGTCTCTGAGCCTTTTTCTTTTCGGTGTTTAAGTGCTAGCTACAGCCAGACGCAAACAGCAACAGTTAGCTTGACTTGTGTATGATGAACACGTTATAGTTCAAATACACTTACGTAGGCAACTTGTATGCTGGAGGCCAGATGTGAAGTTCCGCCAATCTTCGTCCGGTGAAGACCTTCTAGGATCTTGCCAATATCTTCAGTCAGGGTAACCAGGACCTCTGGGCCGTTGCCACCCATGCTCATCAGCCCAACAGCCGACTGTGGGTGAGCTTGTGTCTTTACGGAGTGAACCAAGTTCACAGCATCTGCTTGAGCCTCGAATCTTGTGGGGCTAGATATCGTCCTGTTAGTAGCTGTAGGTATGGATTGTAGGTGTTTTCACTGTTCCATGATAACATACAGGTAATCGCCATTTCTGCTGCTTTCACTATTATCGATACTGTTTCATACTTCGTTAGCATGATACCGTCCATAAACACCGAACCGGGGGAGACGAACATGATCATAGTGGCTTCGAGCGACATGGCGGCGGCTGTGAGAGATGTATCTAGCCTTTATAACGCAAAATAGAGGCAAGAGAGGAGCTTCACGGGGTGTTAAGAGAGACAAGAGATGGCGTGTATATTTGTATAGCTAGTCGTAGCAGAGAAAGGCTTGCTGGCGTCGGTGTCGTTGTCGTTGATGAAGCGAAGGAAGTGAAGCTTCAAGGTTGCTGCGGAGCTCTCAATCGGGACTAGCGCTGTAATGTTTATGTAATCACATTTGTTTACATCGCGACGGCTCGCCTTTTCCTGTTTATTTCAATATCAACATCGACAGTTGGACAGCAACTCACGCCACGACGAGCTTTCAGTATTGAGATAACTAGACGCTACACACAATTGAAAGAGGGATAGCAACACTGCTCTGATTATAGTCAGTCCAGGACCTTACCACTACAATGTCGACCGCCGTCTCGAGAAAACGAAAGTCGCCTGAGCCAAGCAACCATTATGATGAAGCCCTTACTCCTACGAGGAGCCCATCGAAAAAGAGGCTCAGGATCACCCAGAAGCAGAAACAGGCCCTGATGGACAACTTGCAGCTAGAAAGTGGGATTCCCATGGCATGAACCAGTGTTGGCCCAGTATATAGCTAACCGCGGCTTCTAGTTACTGAGCGAGCGCGAAAACTACGCGCGCACTACGCCCTCCAGGCGCAAGATTTACGAGCGAGAATTGAACGGCGTATTAATCGAATCCCCATGGCGCTTCGTAAACAGAACTTGGGCGAACTGCTAGCCAAGTATTCGGAAGCTGCCAAAGAGACATCGGACAACAGGTCTCCATTCAAGAAACCGAGCTTGCCCTCTAAATCTGCAAAGACGGTGCGCCCTGTAACGCAAGCACCAGCAAACTCTGCCGCAGCGCAGCGTACTGGAGCTTCACGACAAAGGTAAATGAGCTCGTTTACCCCTTGGTTAAGGACAGATTCTAACTAAATATTACAGTCATGGCTCTTCTGATAAGGAAAATGCCGGATACCCTGATCTTTCAAATCATCCCCTCACAAATCCAAAGCAGCGGGGCAGGCCAACCCTGCCAGCTTCTTCATCCCGCAATGTATCCCAACGCACAGAGTCTAACATCCTATCACCAAAGTCCTCGAATTCCAGGACCTTTCCGCAATCACCTTTGAAGATGTCACCTACCAAGACACAGCAGCAAGAACCCTATCATATCCGTGCCTTCTCCCCCGTCAAGCACACAAGCCCTACAAAACACATGAATTATGCTACTACTCCCGCTACCCCTAAGCTTAGGACCATGAGGGGTGCAGCCGGGGTTCGCCGAGTAACCCCGCCCGACAACAGCTCTGACTCTGTACCTGGAAGGGTCATCAGGCCAAAGAAGGCCATGTCTGTCAAATCGGCGCCAGCTGGCACAAGAAAGCCCCCCGCAAGGACAGCTACACGCCAAACCAACCGGCAAGTCAGTACCAGCACCACATCATCAAATGCCTCTGCAGCAACTTCTGGAACAACAATTGTACGCTCGGCGAGAACTGCCGCTACCAAGAAGGCTGAGGCTTCTAGCGCGTCATCAAAGAAACCGCCGACTTCTAGAAGCCGGGCTGCCACCACGGCTACTTCAGCAACTGCTTCAACTGCCCGAAAAATGACTGTTGCTGCTGCTAGAAAGGGCCAAGGAGTTGAACAGCCCGCTCCTGGGAGGAGAGTCCTTCGAAGCAGGGTCTAGAGGCACCTACATTAGCTACAGGTTCTTGGTTATCGCTTTTCGATTCTTCATATTCGGTGATTCAACTTGATATTTTCAAGCCTTAAGCGTTTTTATAATGATATTTGAAACTTCGGTGGCTATTGAGATTGGTTTGTTCAGGATGGTTGGCATATTTAGGAGTTAGGAGTATAAATAATGTTTACCTCCCTCAGACTCAACAGAACTAGGGAATTCTTCGCATTTTATAAAGCCATATAAAAAGCGTCTAGCGTTCTAAGCAAACGCGTTGCTTCTCCTAGAAGTGAATAATACATAAATTGCACCACAGGAACGAGGAAAAGGGGCAGAAGCTAAAGAAAACACGTATTTACGGGGTAATTGCCATCACCATGTATGTCTCTAGCTAAGTGGCGCCTACCGGGTATTAAAAAACAAGCAAGATGCGGCATGATTTTTTGTATCGAGGAATGAAGAAAGCAACAAAAAGAATTTAGTAACCACTGGTATACGTCCACAGCGAGCAAAAGCAGCAAGCAATCATGTAGCAAAGAAGACGAAAACGGGACAGGCTAATGTATATTGAGACGTCAGGAACGCAAGCGAAAAAAAAGGGTAAAAAATGCAAAGAGAGAGGGAAGAAGATAGTCTGGGATTGGCGTAGAAGTTAAAAGTCAATTAAAGGGGAAAGGTGGGGGGAAGAGAAGGCAAGAAACGAGCAAAAACAGGGGGAATCAATAGTAATCAGTCAATAAAAGAAGAGAAGAAGAAAGGTCGAAAAGAAGGTGAAGAAATTAAAAGGGGAACTTGTTTGTCATAACTATGAAGGTATTTGCAGAAGTAGGGCATTGGGGAATTGAGGTACGTTTGTCAAATGGATATGCATGAAGAAGAGGTCGGGTTGGAGGGAGGTAGAGAAGGAAATTAGAATCACACAGATTGGGTAAAGGGGGTAAGAGAGGGCGGGACCTCCGTAGAAGAGAAGAGAAGAGAAATGGGAATCAAAAGGTAAAGGTAAAAGGGGTATGTGGGTATACTTGTCAGACCAAATGGCATCCAAGATACAGTGTCCGCTGCATTTCAAGAAAGGATTTTTTTTCATCGTTTTAGATTTGCAAGTGAAGGGGAAAGGGTCGAGACCAAGGAGGGGAGGTGAAGGAAAAAAAAAAAAAAAAGGTGAAAAAAAGAAGGGAGAGAGATCAAAGTGAGAGAGGAAAAAACGAAGAAGATTCAACCAATACCAGACCGTTTGTTCCGTGTAGAGTAAAGAAAAGGGAAGAAGGAAAGGGAGAAAAAAAGGAAAAGGCCAATAACAAAAGAGAAGCAAATCCCCAATGAACCAAGTTTTGAGCACCAAGTGAACCGCGCCGTAGATTGTTGCCCGGTCCGGTGGAATGCAAATAGGGTAGATTCAGACGCCATATGCGAATATGCAAGAAGCAGGTCAAGGTCGTCTCATGAATTTTTTTTTAATCTCTTCCTTCCTCTGGAATTAGTTAAACGTGTAGAAAACATCACTTAGATGGCAGGAGGGCGGCCACGGTATGCCATTGGTGGTTGTGCCAGGTGTTGCTGGTGTTGGGGTTTTTGTGGTGGAACTCCGCCGTATGCCTGGCCCTGGCCCTGGCCTTGTCCTTGGTTGCTGTCGCCGGTATTAGTTCGGATTGGTTGTGGAGGGAAGGGAGCGTTATGATCCTGAGGCCCGTGGACGTGCCTCACAGAACTCTGCATCTGCCATGCTGTAGCTTGAGACGGATCGGTGTCAATACGCGCGGCAATAGGAGAGTTATTTCCTTTCGAAGAGCCAGAACGCACAGGAATGGTTTCCGCGACTGTCGGGGCTCTCTGGGGCACAGGAAGTTTGCCCAAGGCCCCATAACGTTTGAGGATTTCTTTGGTAGTGATTTCAGCACTGCCATTGAAGAGCGTCGAATCGGTTAGGATAGACAGAAGGTCTTCCGGAACCTATTACAATGGTCACATTAGCATGAAAATATGGTGATATGGTTGGGATATGATGTGGTACGTACCTCACACATGGTATCATTATTTTCAATTAAGGAGGTGACAGCTTCAATAGCCAAGAAACTGTCGTCAACACCAGCAACCTTTGCATTAGAGTAGAGTATATTCGGGGTCATAACGGTAGCAAGATTATGAATATCCATCTTACTACCGGTCTCATCATCAACATGGCAGAACGAAGAAGCCCAGTTAAGGAATGAAAACAATACTTCCATAGTGTCTCTGTGCGACTTTGGAAGCAAGCAACAAGTCAGATGAAGAACTCGCTTGCGCTTTACTGGATCAGCGATTTCTATGGTTATTTTGTATTAGCTATTACGTCTTTCCGGTTAAGAGATGGTATTGGACGAAAATGAACTTACTTTGTGCAATAACAAACAAGCTATGAAGCTTAAATGTAAGAAGAGGATCAGGCATCTCTCGAAGGAACTTCTTCATCAAAGCCGCAACTTGAACGGCGGACTCTTTGTCCAACTCAGCGGCCTCGTACTTGGTGTCAATAAGCTCAGCGGTTTCTCTGAGTCGTTTAATGTTTCCGTTCTTACGGAAGACACCTTCAACAGACATATCCATCTGCCGCATGGCGGAGATTGCATCGTCGATAAAGGTTGGAATTCGCAATGTGCCAGGGCCAACTCCGTGGGTTGATTCTGTTCCATCTCTTTCAACGATGACTTCCAAGGCTACGCCGAAAACACCCTTCTTTTTGCCAACCTTGCGAGGATCGTTCTTGAAAGCACGGTTAAAGATGTTCCAGATAGTTGGCTTGCGAGGCTCGATGAGGCCAAGGAGTTCTTCGAGATTAAAGCTTCCTTCCAGCAAGGGCTCCATGGAAAGGACAGCAACGTGTCGAACAATGAAGTATTCTAGAGCAGATAGCTCTGAGAAATATTTCTTAGCTCTAGGTCGTTCCATGGCACCCAGCTGGTCAACGGATACTCCTCGTTGATGGCCATTGACAAGCTTAGCAGCTGGACCGCCGCTTCCAATGAGATTACCACCAGCATGCTTATACGCGTTAGGACGTTGCTCTTTGGCCTGCTCGGCAGCGACGATTCTTGGAATATCGTCCAGAGTGAGAGCATCTTGGTTTCCAAAGGTAAGGTCAGCAACAGGCTCGCCATCAGCGTCTCGTTCTTCGACGATTTGGAAGTTCTGGTTTTGGCCATTGTTGGCACCTCCAGGAGCACCTGGTTGGACGCTGCTGCTCTCAGGGCCAGAGATTATGCGTGAAGTTCGGGCTTTCTTGAAGGTTGTGGAGATGGCCCGCTCATTCCTAGTTGATCGGAGTCTTCTCATTTCACCGACTGTCTGCTCGAGTGATGAAGGCGCCTTCTCTTCATTTTGTTCGCCAGTGTAGGACATTGAGCGAGTGGTTGGACGCTGAGGTGGCAGATGGGGATCAGCCTGTGGAGGAATACGGTGGCCATCATTTGCCTCGTATTCCTTCAAGTTGGGATCATCTATATGGATGGTCAGTAGAGTGTCAAGAATTGTTTGAGTGGTAGAGAGCAGACATACCAGATGTATGTGGTAGAGTACCACCAGATCGTAAGACAGAAAGGAGTCTAGCAAGAGCCACTCGAAGCAGGAAGACGTATTGCTGCAGTTTGGTGACATTTTCAAAGCCAGAAATGGCCTGGGGATCATGTCCTCTCTGTACAGCGCAGTTTTGGCAGAATGGCCGGTCATTCTTCTCACTCCATCTTGCGCGCTCAAGGTCATGTGTTAGGTCATCCTGGCATGCGCCGCAGACAAGGTGTGGCGGCTTCTTATGCCACTGTCTCCGGCCTAAGACAATGCATTCATCGTCAATAGGTTCAGTGCACGCAGCGCAGCAGTCAGACTGAGAGTGAGCTAGCTGTGAGGTATCAGTGTTTAGGTCGCTGGCTGTGATAGTGTTCACTTCCTCCAGATCTGCGGTTAGGTCTAGGAAGGCATAGAGGGCATCTGGTGTCTTTGTTTCGCGCTCTAATCTAAGAGAGCCCTGCAAGCCAATGCGGATAAGGAGTTTTAAATAATGTGCCAGCCCTGTAACAAGGGCAAGGAGCTCCTGTGTAACTCCAAGCTTCCGAACTCCGGTCTCTTGTGTCTTTGAAAGTAATGAAAAGAAAGAGACTACTTTCTTGCAAAGCAACTTTGCTTCTCTACCATATGCCATTTCTATTCCCAGTGGTCAGTATAACCAATTGTTTGGGGGAAAGAAGAAAAGGAGAGCAAAATATTAGATGACTTACCTTTTACTCCAAGTGCAGAAATTTGAGATGCAAGCTGGTCCGTACCCTTGAAGAGGACCTCGACGTGGAAAATGAACTTTTTTGCAACAACAACGCCATCGATGTATGCACCATTGCTAACATGCAGCAACATATCGGAAATGCAGGCGGCAGACGACTCTTCAAATGCAGAAAGTACGCTCCAGATACGGTAGACCTTTTCTTCCATCTTTTCTTCCTCGTCACGGATCTGGTCTCGTTCCTCATTGCTGACATCGCGGTCAATCTCTGGCGGTTCGAATGTCTTCCCACTTGGAGACAGGCGCACGTTCCAGAATTTATGTATCATGTAACATTCAGGGTGCCAATGCTGGTTCTGGCCGTTTCGGAAAATCTCGACAAACTGTTTTAGGATTGCGGTTTGGCAGCCGTTGCATCGCTGAGCGAATTGGGTCGAGTAATGGTAATGGCAGTAAACCTTGCCCTCGTGCTCGTAGTAACTGTCTTGAGCTCCAAAGACGGTAGGGCAAACGGAGCAGGTGAAGTGCTCAATGTGATATTTGTGGTCCAAAGCCGTGATGTAGGATCCTCTGAGGGCGCCTCCGCACTCGAAACACAATAGGTTTAATCGTCGGAAGTAGTCTCGCTCACAAAGCGGATGTTGGGAATTGCCATCTTCAGAGTCGACGGGGAAGAACTTCGATGCGACAATCTCTCCACAGTCCTTTTTCATTTCATTCATGTTAGAGTATTTTATTATAAGATTGGCAACGAGAGAAG